GCCTCTGTTTCCACCAGCTGCTGGATGAAGGTTCTATGGTGACATTTAATATAGTCATCAATCTGATTACAGGGCAAGGCCAGTTTGGACACTCTCTCCAATATTGCTTAGGGTCTTAGCTGGGGTCATCCTTGTGGATTCCTGGGAATTTCTCTAGTTCCAGGTTTCTTGCTAGCCCCATAATGGCTCCTTCAATCAAAATATTTTTTTTCTTGCTCTCTATCTCTGTCCTTCCCCCATCTCAACTATCCCGTTCCCTCAAGTTCTTCTTCACCCTCCCCTTCTCCCCTCCTCCTCCTCTTCCACCCTCCCTTTCCTCCAAACCCCTATGCTCTCATGCTCTTTGTCATGAGATCTTGTCTATTTCCCCTTCCCAGGGGAATCTATATATATTTTCCTTAGGGTTCACCTAAGCAACAAGCTTAGCTTCTCTAAGATCATGAACTAGGCTGATTATCCTTTGCTTTACAGCTAGTATCCACTTACAAGTGAGTACATACCATGTTTATCTTTCTGGGTCTGGGTTACCTCTCTCAGGATAGTGTTTTCTAGTTCCATTCATTTGCATGCAAATTTCAAGATATCTTTTTTATTTCCCCCACTGAGTAGGACTCCATTATGTAAACGTACCACATTTTCTTTATCCATTCTTCGGTTGAGGGGCATCTAGGTTGTTTCCAGGTTCTGGCTATTGCAAATAATACTGCTATGAACATAGTTGAATAAAAGTCCTTGTAGTATGATTGAGCATCCTTTGGGTATATGTCCAAGAGTGGTATTGCTGGGCCCTGAGGTAGGTTGATTTCAAATTTTCTGAGAGACCATCATACTGATTTCCAGAGTGGTTGTACAAATTTGCATTCTCACCAGCAATGGGGGAGTGTTCCCCTTACACTGCATCCTCTCCAGCATAAGCTGTCATCAGTGTGTTTTTGATCTTAGCAATTCTGAGAGGTGTAAGATGGAATCTCAGAGTCATTTTGATTTGCATTTTCCTGATGGCTAAGGATGTTGAACATTTCCTTAAGTGTCTTTGGCCATTTGAAATTATTCTGTTGATGTAGTAAAAAGGGCGTCGGGGCTGCGTCCCTGGCACCCCAGCCGCCTGGCTAGCTTATGCCCCGAAATAACAACACACAAACTGTATTCATTTAAACACTGCTTGGCCCTTTAGCTCTAGCCCTTACAGGCTAATTCTCACATCCCGATCAACCCATCTCTAATAATCTGTGAGCACCGGTCTTACCGGGAAAGATTCAGCTTGTCTAACCTGGCATCTTGCTTCATCGTGTGCGTCTGCCTGGGAGAGCGGAGCATGGCATCTCTCTCTCTGAGGCATCTGCTCCCGAGAGGAGAGCTGTGGAGTCTGACCTCACTTCCTCTTCCTCCCAGCGTTCTGTTCTGTTTACTCCTCCCACCTATCTTCTAACCAATAAAATGGGCCAAGGCAGTTCCTTTATTAGCCAATGACCTTCCTCCATCATGTTGAGAATTCTGTTTAGATCTGTACCACATTTTTTAACTGGATTAACTAATTTTTTCTTGAGTTCTTTATATATTTTAGAGATAAGTCTTCTGTCTGATGTAGGGTTGGTGAAGATCTTTTCCCACTTAGTAGGCTGCCCTTTTGTCTTATTGACTGTGTCCTTTGCTTTACAGAAGCTTCTCAGTTTCAGGAGGTCCCATTTATTTATTGTTGCTCTCAGTGTCTGCGCTACTGGTGTTATATTTAAGAAGTGATCTTCTGTGCCCATGCATTGAAAGCTGCTTCTCACTTTCTCTTCTATCAGGTTCAGTGTGGTCGGATTCATATTGAGGTCTTTGATCCATTTGGACTTGAGTTTTGTGCATGGGGATAGATATAGATCTATTTGCATTTTTCTACATGTTGACATCAAGTTATGCCAGCACCATTTGTTGAAGATGCTTTCTTTTTTCCATTATATAACATTATATAATTTCAGCTTCTTTGTTAAAAATCAGGTGTTGATAGGTGTGTGGATTAGTATTTGGGTCTTTGAATTGATTCTATTGCTCCACCTGTCTGTGCCAATACCAGTAGAATTTACATTCTTATAATTTGTTAAGTCTTTCTCACCTGACTTTAGGATGAGAAAATATTTATTCTCTGTGAGAATTCTCCTGGAAGTTTGAAATTTTCTTCTTCACTTACTATTTTTCTTTAAGAAGTGTCTTCATGCTAACACTACACAGTATAAAACTCTGCTTGACTCCTCGGGATTCCCTACCATCCTGACTTACCCCTCCCAGTGGGTTCCAAAATTCCTTAACACACAATCTATCTAAAATTCTTTTTGTCATCCAGCACCTTCTACTAACTTAAAATCTGATTTTAAAAAGGATTTATTTTATTTTATGTACATGTGTGAGAGTCTGCATGTATGTGTGTGTACTTGATACACATGGAGGCCAGAAGAGGGCATCAGTTCCCCTGGAACCAGAGTTACAGATGGTTGGGAACACCACATGGGTTCTGGGAATGGAACCTGGGCCTCTGCACGGATTCCATCGGGGATGCTCATGGTATGCATTTCCTGCTGGTTTTGGTTGGCACTACTTTGAAAGTCACACTTTTCAGACTTTGGCAATGTGAAGCTGTGGTCCAGAATCTCTGCCTTGTCTCTCTTTTTAGATAGTAGACGTTTTCATGCACACATCACCAGCCGTTTCCCTTTCTTTTCCTTTGCTACACTGACAACCTTGGGTAAATGTTCTGAAATTCCCTTTCAGATGGAGGCTAACAACTATATTGCTGGAGGCCATTTTCCACCCACCCAGACAATTTGCACAAAACTGTTTAACTGCCTATGTAAAATATCAGCTCTGGTAATCTCTGGCATATTGAGGACACTATGGAGGAGTTAACGTCTGCTGATGGAGCCGGGGGTAAAAACTCATCTATTTTTTGAGTCATAGTAGGCTTCTAAGAGGCTATTATTTCTAAGCCTAATTCCTTATACATTTTGGGGCAAACCTGTAAAATATGCCTCATTTTTAAAGGTTTATTTTACTTTATATGTAGAAATGTTTTGTGTGCATGTATATATGTATACTGTGTACATGCCTTGTGTCCCTGTAGGTCGGAGATGGTATCAGATCCCACAGAACTGGACTTACAGGCAGTTTTGAGCCATCATGTGGGTGTTGGGAATGAAAACTGGGTCCTCTGAAAGAGCATCAAGTGCTTTTAACCACTGAGCCATCTGTCTAGCCCCTGCCTCATTCTTTTTGAATAAGCTAAATAGGCCTGAAATCCGGCTATACAGCTCTCAAACTTCACTGTTTCTATTCAGTACATTTCTGAACGACAATAAAAGGACATCCTTGGCATTCTTGTATACAGAAGACCCTTCAACATGTTCTTCTTTCTGATGTGTGAAAAGCATCGGAATAAATGGGGCCAGTTTCTAAGAAATCTCGAATTACTTTTCAGTGACCCTTCCTGATGTGGAAGACTGAGAGCCCCAGTTTCTGTGATGTTGTCACTAACAACGGACCCACACAGCACCTGCTTTTCAGAGTTACCAGGTTACAGGGGCTCCTGGCGTTCACGCTGTCGTCATGTGATGGTGAAGCTGGGAAGGCAGTGTGGGAATCAGGAGGGAATCTTCTGTCTGGGATTCCACTTCAGTGATGGCCAGCGAAGGCTCTACTACCCAGACAGAAGAGTCTACAGCATGAACACCCACCTAGAGAAGACATTTTTAATATGGCAGAAGGAAACAAGACTCACCAAACCTTCGTGCAGCAGTTGATTCTGAATCTGTTCAAGTTTTGCTGATTGCTCCCTCAGTGTAATTTTTAACTTGGAAAGTCGAATTTCAAGCCTAAAATGCATTTGGTACTGATTCACATATATAGTTTTAAAAAACATTATCACAGTTTCTGAACTAACATCTGAAAGAATAATTTCATTATTAATATCTGAAAAGCATGTGGTTTGGAAGTTTTCATCTTCTCCCTGCTGTGTTTTGTGGATAATGTGCATAATAGTGTAAATTTGCACATTTAATTTTTGCAGGGTTTAGAACTAAACCTTTCCACTTGGTACACACAGATATACCAAGCTGTCCAGCTGAGCAACGTCCAAGACTTAAACAATGCATTTCAACCATCATAATTCTGAGCGAGTTTCCTGGCTTCCCCAAAGGGCACCCATTAACATAGGGTTAGAGTTTCTATACTACACTGTTCTTTCTGCAGAGCTCACGGGAATCCGTGCACTACCCTACTTTATACCTTTGTAAGCTGGCTTGCGTCTTCCCAGAACTCTGTGCTGTCTCTGAGAGTTGGTCCTGTAGTCCCTGCAACTAAAATGAGCAATAAGCTGTTAAGACCATCGGTCTGCACTTTACCCTGGACACTGCCCATGGGGACGTCTGTTCTGTAACTGTAGAATTAACTGAGCTGTAACAGCAGGACTTTATTTCCACCATGCCCAAATCAATACTACCTGCCATCTACAGGAAATTAACGGATGTTTACTCTAACACTGAGGCACGTATTATTGGGTATTATTGGATATGCAAATTGATAGAACTGGTAAAATATGGAAATTTATATGTCTGAATTTCCAGAAATACCTCAAAACCCATAATTTGAAAATTGACTTATATCTACATATATGAATGATCACAGGAATATATGTGCTAGTGATGATAAAAACTAACATGATATTTTAGATGAAAACAAGATGTTTGTTTTAGGAAATGGTTTGAGAGATGTTCTGTCTTAGCTATAGTTTGGGATAACTATTTAAATTTAATCTTCCTACTTTCAATTCATTGATGAGGTGCAAGTCTCAAGTTGGTGTAACTGCATGTTTTCCTATTTTCAGTGAGGAATTGGCAAGCAATACTTTTTTTTTCCTGATAATTTTCTGCTAATCACAAGTATTTATCTAAAACCACACAAAATCGAAGAGAGCCAACTAATATCAAGCCCTGAGAAATATGGACTTTTACTCACGATGAGTTTACCTGTCTCAAATCGTTTTCTATGGCCTTTGCATCTGCAATCATTTTCCCGATTTCTGGGTGCTGAGTCTGTTCCACATGTTCACCGCATTGCTCCTCTCTTCTGCTCAGCTGCACCTTCTTTTGTTGAAACATAGACTCAGCATGTTCTTGCTTCTCACCTGGTTTCAAGGGGAACCTGAAGTATTAAAACATATTACAACTAATTTTTAGGAAAAACGTTCATTGTGGGATGTGATTTTCTTATACTAACAGACCAACTTCTTGATTTATTACCTTTCAAAATAACGAAGTAAGTTGACTTGAAATAAAATTTCATCACCATACAATGTGCCAGATGTGTCTCAGATGATTTCATTGCAAAGAAGAACCTCCAGATGTTCACACGCTGGCTCTGTCTGTAGCCATAACTCAGGACCCAGAGGAGGAACTTAGTGTTCATTATCGCTCATTCTGTCTGTTGCTAACACTTTAAGCATATCTCAGTATTATTTATTGCAAAAGAAGCTTGACGGTCTTTTGTGAACAATACATAACCTCCTCATTCAACAGTATTGTAGTTTATAGAAATATGAATTAATTTTATCAATGTATGAAAGATATATACTGAAAAAATTAACCAGTGACCTCCATTTTCTTTTTATTTTATTTGTGTTAAAAGTACAGATGGGGCCCAGGTTAACAGCCTCTAGAGAGCTTGTCAGTCATGGCTACCGTTGTTGGATCCCTAGCAATGTAAACTTATAAAAATATAAGTTTAAAAATATTTGAGTTGAGAGATGATTCTTTTATACTCTTTGGCTGGAGCTATCAATGAATATTAAGCTTTCTTTAGAAGAAGTAACTGTATTGATCCAAGCCTTTAAAAATGATTCCTATACTTTAAACAAGTAATTATATATGGACGATTTTTCCTAAATATTTAGAAATTTAGAAAATAAAGTCCAAATGGTATTTCTTGCAGCATCAATTGAAACAGAAAGGTCTGAGAATGATCACAAATTCTCAGTCCTGAGTGAATAATGGAATTCATCATAGCCACTTGAATTTCAGTTTTAAAAATTGTGAATTTATTTATTTAAAATGCTCATACCTAAATGAGTTGGTTCCACTTTCCCCAATAATTTTACACTCCACAGGACTGAAAATGTCTTCCTCTAGGGCACTAGACCTTACGCCAGCAATGATGAGAATTCTACTTCAGATCTACAACACAATATGATGGCTCAACTGTTTCTTCAAGACTAAGGTGTCACAGGGCTGGAGAGATGGCTCAGTGGAGAAAAACACTGGCTGCTCCTGCACAGGACCGGGGTTGGATTGCTAGCCCTCAGAGAGTGGCTCAGTCATCTGTAACTCCAGGTCCAGGCAATCTGATGCCCTCCCTCTTCTGGCCCCTGGGGGCACTGCATGCGTGTGGTACACAGATTCACATGTAGGCACACACACATATACATATAGCATGAAAATAAAAATTTTAATTAAAAAACCAAATAAGATGCCATGCCTCAAAGTGCAGAGGTCTTCCCATTCTCCTCCTCTATACGGTAACCAGGATTTTATTTCCGTCTGTTCTCTCTGCACTCCGCTAGCCCTGTTTTCCATGTTCTCAAGTTTTCTTGTAAGCAGTTCGCAGTGGCTGTTCTTAAGCTCCATCAGTCTTTCATATGAATGAATCATATCCCAGAGTTTCAGCAGGCTGCTAGAGTCTGTATGAGAGAGGACAGCGCCAGAATAAATTACACACGAGCATATATTGTACATAGGGACCACGTCTTCACGTCAGCCACTCATACGCTGAACAACAAGCACCACATGCCTCTAACGAGGATCACGCAGGCTGGAATCCTGCAGATAAAACAAACGAGACCTTGTGTGGTGGCCTTTCTCGGCCGGCAGCCTGACTACATCTGGGGTTGACTAAAAGCCAAATCAGTAGACACACCTGTAGCGTTTTTCTTAATTAAATAATTTAGAAGTGGGAAGACCTACTTCTAATCCAGACCTTCTGAGGTGGGAAGATGCCCCTCTAATCTGGACCACACCTCCTGCTGGAAGCCGATAGGAAGGACGTGGAGAAGGAAGCCTGCTCTCCTTTCCTGCCTGCTCTCTAGCAAGTCCATTCCTCCACTTGCATTTTCAGGGTTCCAGCATATGCTGAGGGCCAGCTCAGACATCCTGCCTCATGGACTGAACAACCACTGGATTCCTGGGCCTTCTGTTGGTAGACAGCCATTGTTGGACTAGCTGGACCACAGCCTGTTAGTCATTCTAGTACATTCCCTTTATATAAATGTATTCTTTCTATGAGTTCTGTCACTCCAGAGAACCCTGACTAATACACCTCATTTTTGTTTAGTTTCAAATCTAGAGGAGAAATGACACAAAATGTGCATTATATATTCAGATAAATGAATGTTTTATATTCAGATAAATGAGCATTATATATTCAGATAAGCACTGTAAGAGACAGTCCTATGATCACCTATGAAAATTAATATAAGATGGGCTCAAGGCAGATGTGTCAAGGAGGAAAAAGCTGCCCTGAGAAATGTGGGATGAGCTGGAGTCAGTGACATGGAGAAGGGGAAGCTCTCTAGCTGGTCCATTCGTTCATGGAGATCCATTGCCATCTACTTCCAGTCAAGGTGGTGCAACAGATACGGATTTCATTTCAACATGAAACAAGAAAACCAAAACAGCCAAAATATTCCCTTTGACAATTATTAAGATAATGGATTATAAAGATAACAATCTATGATTGACAGAAAACAGATGAGAAAGGTCTCCCAATGTCATCTCTCCCTATAAAGAGAGGGTTCAGGCAGAAAATAAGGAGACTGAACTGATGTGGAGTCTCCTGGATTCTCCGTGCTGAGGGAGGTGAGTCTGCAGAGATCACAGGGCAGGATGCAGGAGGGAAGAGAGCAGTGTGGCAGGACGCTGCAGATCTGCGACCCCTTCAACAGCAGAGCATGACAAATGCTTGTGCAGAAAGCATCTGCAACTGAAAAAAGCTTCCAGGGAACTGCAGAGCCCATGGACTGCCTAAAAAGTGTCCATTCCCAGCAAACAATTGAATAAAATCTTAAGTTAGGGTACAATAGGTTAGCAAAAGGTTCTGTCTACATTGCAGAGAACCGGAGGCTGTCTGAACAGGATTAGGAAGGGTTTAATGTAACTTAAATGTAGCTGTCTTAGATACTTCTCTATTGTGATAAAAACACTATGATCAAGGCAACTTATAAAATTTTAATTCAGGGCTAACTTTCAGAGGGTTAGAGTCCACCGAAGGTCATGGCTGTGAACACAGCAGGAGGCAGGCACGGTACTAGAACAGTACTGAGAACTTACATCTTGAGACAAAACCAAGAGGCAGAGTGAAAGAGACGTACCAGGAGCAGTACAGCAGGCAGCAGGCATCTCTCTAAACCTCAAGCCCAGCCCCAGTGACACACCTCCTCCAGCAAGGCCACACCTCCTAGTCCTACCCAAGCAGTTCTACCAAATGGCAGGGTGTGGGGGAGAGGCAATTATCTTGTTATGTGAGCCCGTGGGGACCATTCTCATCCACACTACTGCATTCCATTCCCTGGGCTCCATAGGACATATTGTAATGCAAAAGTTCCAACATTCTTCCAGAAAGGTCCTGCCCATTACTGGGGCTGGGCGAGGGGAGAAGGAGGGAAGACCAGACAGGACTGGAGGCTATCATAAGAACAGGAAGGAGGGGTCAAGTTGTTTAATGTGACTTAAATGTATCCCATATTGAAATTCAAAGAGAAGTAGACTCATGAGAGTCACCTTTTTTAAAAATTTAATTTTTCTCAAACAAATCCAAATCAACAGGAACTAAACAGCACGGCTGTGAACAAATTTAACTACAGTTTACACTTGAACAAGGCATGTTCAAACAGTGTTGGTCTATGTATACATTGTGTTTTTTGAAGTGCATTGAGGTTTCACATAATCTGAAAAATTCACAGAACCACATACCATAGGAATATTGAAAAAACTTAGGCTGCATGTCATGAATGTATAAAACATACATTCAAAACAGTAGATCTTATAATCTGTTAATAAAAGAAAACATAGGAGGCCATAGCAAGCAGTTGATCGGAGTTATGGACATACTTCTGCCCCTAAGTGTTATGACCTGAAGTCAAGACATAAAAACTAAGGTAACAAAGCCACGTTCTCCAACTGCACTGCCTCCTGCTCTTCCTGCTGGAAGCCCCATGGGAGGGCATTTGCACACTGCGGAGGGCATTTGCACACTGCGGAGGGCAGCTCTCTAGAGCATTTTGTCTCTCAGACTGGCGATTGCAATCCAAAGGACCTCTCATAGCTCTCTCCGCCCTTCTACACTTCTCACACAGAATCTGGGTCCGCCGGCCATTTGTGTTATCACTAAGAATTCCGTTCAACAACAGTTCCCTAGGAGTTCTATTTTAGAAGCCTAAAGATGTTTGTAAATTTTGAATTGTCAGCGTTTGCTACTTCTATGTCCAGTAAAATGTTGTTGAAGACTCAATAGATTCAAGTAATTATGTAGAACGAACATGATTGAAAACTTCAGAAAGACAGATTGTCAGGCTGATTAAAAAGTAGCTACATCTTTACCCTGTAACAACAACAACAACAACAACAACTACTACTACTACTACTACTACCTAAGGGCTAGAGAGATGTTCAGAGGTTCAGACTACTGGCTGATTTTGCAGAAGGCCTGAACTGGATTCGTAGCACCCACCCGTAACTCCAGTTTCAGGGGATCTGATGCTGTCCTCTGGCCTCTGCTGGCACCACACATACACACGGTGAGCATACATACATTCAGGTATGCACACATACACATAAATTCAGTTTCCATGAACTCACACCAACCCTGAATAAGACCTGAAGAAAGCCAAGATAGTCAACATTCCAGCATGGACGGGGAGGATACAGACAGGAGGTTGTGTCCTGCCCAGTTTGTGCATTCAGGGACAGTTTATAAACACATGACACAAAATTTGGTCACAGTGCCTAAAGAAATTCACAGACACCATCTGAAACCAGCCTACTCAGTAAGGGATGGAGCAGACAGTCCGTGGGACAGTGTGGAGCACAAGTATGTCTCCTCTTGTTAATATACCCACTAAGACCAGAAGAAACTGCTACAGGATTATTAAGTCAAAACAATTTAAGTGATGAGAAATGTGTTCCCTGAAGATAAAGAGATCAAATTGGAATTTAATGATTAAAATTTAATAAACATTGACAAAAGTATCGAAAAGACAGTTTATTAAAGAAGATAAACAATTCAGGCCTAATGTGTGATTAGTTTCTACTGTAAACTTCAGATAACCTAGACTCACCAGGGAAGAGGGAACCTCAGCTACGCCATCAGACTGGCTTGTGGGCATTCTGTATGGCATGGCCTTGATTGCTAATTGGTGCTTGCTGTGGCTTGTGCTGTGGCTTATCCCAGACAGGCAATCCAGGCTGTGTAAGAAAAGCTAGCTGAGTGTGAACCCATGAGAGTCAGGAGCATTGTTCTTTTGTGGTTCCTGCCGTGATGGATTGGGATCTAGAAGTGTGAGCTGGAATAAATCCAGGTGCTTTCATTTGCATGGGACATCAAAGTGACAAAGGAAACCAGTGCCTCAGGTCTGTAATCCCAGCTACCCAGGAGGCTGGGGCAGGAGTAGCAAAGGTCATTTAGTACCTGAGCCAGGTCGGGAGCTCAAGGTCACTTGAGAAACTTACCAAGACTTTTTCTTTTGTTTTTAGATTTACTTATTTTATGTATGAGTGTTCTGTCTGCATGTACAACCTTACTCCAGAAGAGGGCATCAGATCCCACTGTAGATGGCTGTGAGTCACCATGGGGTTGCTGGAAATTGAACTCAGGACCTCTGGATGAGCAGCCAGTGCTCTTAACCTCAGCCATTGCACCAGCCTGACCAAGAGTCTTTCAAAGTAAAACAGTAACTAGAGTTGGAGCTATAGCTAAGTGGTACAGCATGTCCCTCGCATGCACAAGGGCCTAGGCTTAATCCCCAGAACCACATACATGCACACACAGAAAATAAATACATGGAAAAGAAGCTTAACATTGAATCTAAAAATAACACTGAATGAGGGAGGTGACAAAGCCCAACTAGACACTCCGTGCTAACAAATAAAAATCTCCACATCAGGAATAGGCTACCTCTTTTTGAGTTGTTGGCCAGTGGGGGCCTCTATTGCCAATACTCTTGGCTTGACAGTAAGACCATATTGCTGAAGACAACACAAACTTGAGTAACAACATGGACAACCAAGCTGGTACTCAGCTGGAGGCCTCATCCCTATGGCTAGCTTTCACGGTACTAGAAGGCGCTATGCGTGCGACTGGAGAAGCGTAGTCATCATTTCACCCAGCTGTGAGCCCTGTAGCCTGCAATGACCGGCCTGACAGACGTGCCTACTGGACAAACAATGGCGTGAATGTCATTGGATCTAAGGTTTGTGCCATGAGGTGGAATCCATACCTGGCACTGTTAAAGGCACCAAGAATCTGTGGCTGGGTAGGTCAGAGGAAGAATCTGAAAGAGGACGGCCCTAAGGAAGAATCTAGAACTATTGCTCTGCTAAAGGGACATAGCGTTAAGACGACCCCTAATGAGTTACTGCTATACACATAAATCAGAGCATCTCTCAACCCTCATCAGAGAAGTTCCTCCTTGCAGTAGATGGTGATTAACACAGACTCTCAGATAGTCAACATGGAGAGGGTGTGAGACTGTGGAGAGCTTGGCTCCATGGGGACACACACATCACACCCTTCCCCAGGGGTCTTGGGGGAAGAGTGACTGGAAAATCCTAAGCGGCAGAGACTGTGGCTAACATCAAGGCATAGCAGGGAAGTTACACGTATGAAGCCACAGTGGTTGTCATGGTATGCAAAAGACATGCACGACCTCAAGCAGAAAAAAAAATCTCAGCATTAGAAGGAGAAAGTGGGCATAAGATCCCACTGCTAGCTCAGGAGCTATTGACGCTTGATAGTGGTGGGGAGAGAAAGAGAGTCAGTTTTCTTTAATGATGGGACCCCCTGGCAGGTCACAAATATGACAAGGCAGTTCCCAGCCTCAAGACTATCTGGTCATCATGGGGTAGAAGGGGCAAAACCCAAAGCTCGAGGGAAATGGAGAGGAGGGCGGTTTATGCAAGGAGCTGGGGAAGGGAGGGTAATATGAACAAAATACATCATATGAAAATCTCAAAGAAGTACTAAAATATTGTTTAAAGAACGACACTGATATTCACAATAGCCACTTATTAGAACGGTGGAAATAAAAAAGGCCCATGATAATACTATGCAAAAATACAGAGGAATTTAAGTCTCCTCTATTGGTAATGAGAGTAGAAAATGATTCACGCACTTTTCAAGATGAATTAGTAGCTTCTTAATAGGGGAATATAAGACAATTGAGGAAACAGCTGTGGAGGAAGATACATTGTTACCCATGTTGACAATGGTGGCGAAATATGTGTTTCAACCTTCAGACATCTAACACATGGCACATGTAATTTATTTGGGTCAAGAAGACCCCAGCAGAGCGACTGAAAACACATGACTCTGGGACCGTAACAAATATCTAAGGGTAGTGGACTGAAAAGAGACCCACAGAAAGCTAGAGCAGCGGGGGAGAGTGAGCTCTTGGCCCTGAGAAGTGACAGCATATGACAGGTTCCGAATTTTCAAAATAGAGTTCTAGGGGCAGTTGGATCAAGTTCAAAGAGGAGGAGCTCTATGGTTATTACAGCCTGCTCCACTGGCTGCCGAAGATTCTCACAGAGCTCTTCTGCTGGGATTTGAAGTGGTTCTCTGTCTAGAATGGTAGAGAGGGCATTGCCTGGGGGCCCAGAATACAGACACTTCAGTGTTCTGTGATCAGGACTGAGGGATGCATAAATAGGACCCAGATGCAGCAGACGCCTCCTGTTCACACAGCGCCCTGTTTCACGCTCCTTCACAGCGCTCACTGAGCCGCAGATGGACTCACAGCAAGCACAGGGCTACCTACCATTTCCTGCGGCTGTCGCAGAAGGCTGACTTCGGCTGTTGACTTCTTTCATTTCATTGACTTGATTTACTTGGGTTTCCATCTGTAAAACAGCACTATTTCAAAACGTTTCCGAATTCATAGAGTATGTAGTAAATACAGAAAAGTGGTGGCTTTACACTTTGACAAAATGCATAAGCAGAAATGTAATTCTAGATAAAACTGATTTTGTCAAAGGAAACTCTGAGTAACATCTCCTGGTTATTAATAATTAATCAATTTAGAGACAGGATTTTATTATGACCTAGAACTTTCTATGAGACCAAACTGGCCTTGAACTCACAGAGATCTGCCTGTCTCTGGGATTAAAGGTGTATGCCACCACACCCAGCCTTTGCGTCTCCTGTTGCTTGATTTCTTTTTTCAAAAACATTAACTTCTTTGCAAAAGTCTTTTTGAGTTACCTCCCTAATATATTTCAGTTGATACAACATTATATTGTCTTTGATAACCTATCTTTTTAAAAAGTTTATTTTTAGTGTTCTGCCTGCTTGTATTCCTGCAGGCCAGAAGAGGGCACCAGATCCCATTATAAATGCTTGTGAGCCACTCTGTGGTTGCTGGAATTGAACTCAGGACCTCCAGAAGAGCAGTCGGTGCTCTTAAACTCTGAGCCATCTCTCCAGGCCTTAAGCCAAGTTAAGTATTTAGGACAAATTAGGATTAAGTATAAACAATCAAAGCCTCACAGCATACAGAGAAAGCAGTTATTTCTAGCTATCTGACTCACAGGACGGTTTCCCTTCGCTTCTGCTGGAATCTCATTTCCTGTCTTGCTGGTGTCAGACTAAGAGGGGCTGTGTAGAAAGGGTAAGTCTGGCTTTACCTAGCCAGTCAGCTGGACCTGCAGAGCTGGTGAACAAGCTCTTTTGCTCTTTGCAGTCCTGGTTTGGGGATCTCTGGGCATCTGTGTTCTAACTGAAGTTTCAACAGGATGGATGGACTTTGCGGTGCCTACCAACTCAGGGTCTCCTTTGATTCCCTTCATCCTCTCCGTTTTCTCTCTGTCTTAGGCAAGGGGAAGCCTCCTGAAGAATCATGGCCTACATTCCAAGTACACACTTGGGTCTCCCTGTTCAGCTTGTTCCTCTGTACCCTGGTTTGTAGCACCCCTCCATTGCTCATCCCTGTGCAGTGGGCTGGGATACTGCAGTGGACGTCCTGGGGTGACCAGATGCGGACACTAGGATACTGCAGTGGACGTTCTAGGGTGACCAGATGCGGACACTGGGATGCTGCAGTGGACGTTCTAGGGTGACCAGATGCAGACACTGGGATGCTGCAGTAGACGTCCTGGGGTGACCAGATGCGGACACTGGGATACTATAGTGGACATCCTAGGGTGACCAGATGCAGACACTAGGATACTGCAGTGGACACCATAGGGTGACCAGATGCAGACACTGGGATACTATAGTGGACATCCTAGGGTGACCAGATGCAGACACTGGGATACTGCAGTGGACGTCCTAGCGTGACCAGATGCAGGCACTGGGATGCTGCAGTGGACATCCTAGGGTGACTAGATGCAGGCACTGGGATGCTGCAGTGGACATCCTAGGGTGACCAGATGCAGACACTGGGATGCTGCAGTGGACGTCCTAGGGTGACCAGATGCAGACACTGGGATGCTGCAGTGAATGTCACATGGTTACAGATGCAGACACTGGAAACCTTTGCCTGACTTTGGACTTTTACAGGCTTGTTCAGTCAACTTTGGGAACATTCTCCAGCTCCTCATTCCCCCTTGCCAGGCTCATGATTCTGCTAATTTTGCAGGTAAATTGTGTGAAGGAGCCTGGGCCATGGACAGTCTCTAGAATGGGTAAGATCTGCTGTGTATTTACTGCGTTGAACTGAAACTACCAGGACCTGCAAATCTGCAGCGATCATATCTCTTCCTTCCTCAGCATCAGTCTCTATGGCCTCCGGGAGAGTGACTCCCTGGGTTATCCTTTTTGGCAGCCTGGCACACGGAAACATAGCCACACTCCCCTGGTTGAAACTCTTATCATTCACACAATAAAACCTAGCTTCCAAAACCTTCCTTGCCACAACGATGTCTGTGGGACAGACACTACCCTTGTGAGGACTCACAGGCCTGACTCACTACCAGACACCCATGGTGCAGACTTGGGGTGGGCAGTACTGGCAGTGGGCACTGGGAGGCTGCAGGTTCACATCCTCACTGCTCAGGGTTATGGTGATGCCCATGGCAGATGTGATAGCTGTAGCTCCTCCCAGTGTGATGTCACCCAGCCTGCAGTCCAGGTTCCCCTGGTCTGCTTTCCTCCCACAACCAATCAAACTACAGTTCTGATTAACCCTTCACAGTACCTTGTGCTTCTCTTTAGCTTGTCTCTTTGTCAGCCTTAAAAAAAGGATAAAAGCTTTTCAGGCAAATGTTAAATATATAAAACACAAACACTGTTGTTTTATATAACAGCCTCTACAGTTATATTTTGCTTCACATATCCATAATAGTTATATTTGATTTAAAGTACAATCTTTTCCTCTGAAGTGTATTCAACTCTAAACAGAAGTTAATCTTAAGGGATGAAGAATAATAGTTCTAATTATCAACCCGACACACTGGGGTCACCTAAGGTGAGACTCAGCAGGGATTTCTAGACCAGGTTGGCTTGAGGTCATGTCCATAGTGGACAGTCCTGACTAAACATTAAATACTGTGGGAAAACAGCCCATGGTGGGCGGCACCATTTCCCATACAGTGGATCCTAGACTGTAGATGAATAGAGAGGGGGCTGAATATAGAAACTGCACATGCATTTCTTTCTGCTCTGGACTCTGGGTGTCATGGGACTAGGTTTCTAGGCTCCTAGCACTGTGATAATCCCTCAGTGATGGAAAGCAGCCTGGACAGGAAGATCAAAATCAACCCTTTCTCCCCCAAGTTCCTGATGCCTGGGTATTTTAGCCTAGCAACAGAAATAAAACTAGAACACTACTAATATTGTAATGAAGAATTACATTTGGATCAAAGTTTTTCAGTAAAGCCAAATGGGAAAAAATTATCATTTTAGCATAAGTTTCAGTCTTATTGTGATAAAAAGACACAACCAGAATTACAGACAGTAAAACGCATTTAGAAAGCATTATTTAAGTTCTCTTCTAGAGAAATCCCCTTTTTAAATATTTATTTATTTATTTATTCAAAGCGCATGAATGGTTTGCCTGCATCTATTTCTCTACATGTGTGCCTGGTGCCCCCAGAAGCCAGAACAGGGTTTTGGATCCCTTGGGACTAGAGTTACAAACCGTTCTGACCTGGAACTCCAATCTGGATCCTCTTGCCTACTTACTGAGAAGCCCCTCCCTCCCTCCCTACTGAGCCATGCCTCCCACCCAGAGACACGCTTCTTTATAACTGGAGTTAGTGTTCTCCGTCTACTATGCAGTTGGTGCACAGTACCCTAAAGCACTCTCTGTGTGTCTCGGCTGTTCTTTCCCTCACGACCTGTGTGATGCTGTACTAGATAATCTGTAAAGGAAGGATGGAGGTGGGGAAGGAAGCCACCGTGTGAGTGTACACTGAGAGCCGGCTGGTTCAGAAGTGAACCTCGGAACTGCTGGGATTGGACGATACTGTTCAAATTATAAATGCCACATGCCACGACACGCTGTGGAAACAATAGGAATTATGAAGATATATACCAGCAAAGGAATCAATGTTTGCTTGCCATTTGTACTTAAAATTACAAACAGTAGCTTCATTATCTTGCAATTCACCACAAAGGCTGAACTCTGCATGGTGTCAGAGGCTTATAAACTCAGCCACACATTACAGCGTGATTTCCAGGTCAGTCTGGGAGTGTGTGTGTGTGTGTGCGCACATGTGTGCACCCAAGTGTGTCTATGTCTATGTGGGGTATGTGCACAGGAGTGCTGGTGTCCAAGGAGGTCACGGGAGGGCACCTGACACCCTGGAGCTTGAGCCCCCACCTGTGTGGGTTCTGGGAACCAAATTTGGGTTCTTTGCATGAGCAGCCACTCTTAGCCACAGAGCCATCTCTCCACCTCCACAGCCTCGCTTCACGGTGTCATTCCCATTGGCAAGTAGAGTCGCATTTTCTTTCTGATCGTTACTGCATGAGTGATCTCTTTCCTGTCTCTCTCTGTGTGCGGGCACACAGGCATTTACATTTATACAAACTCAAATTACAGTTTACTCTTAGCCTGATACAATGTATTAAGATTTCAAATACTTTGTCATACAAATTTCAGCTGTATTCACTGCCTTCTACACTAGATCTCGTTCGTCTTCCTGCAAAGATCTAAAACAGGGTCATTTTAAGAGGGAAAAGAAAAAATGTTTTTAGACTCCACCCCCTTCTTTACCAGTTGCCACCCACTTCTCTGTTACTTTTCTGAGGAAAAGCTCTCCAGGGACCTGTCTCTCTGTCTCTCTGGTGCACTGTCTGAGGAAAAGCTCTCCAGGGACCTGTCTCTCTTGTGCACTGTCTGAGGAAAAGCTCTCCAGGGACCTGTCTCTCTTGTGCACTGTCTGAGGAAAAGCTCTCCAGGGACCTGTCTCTCTTGTGCACTGTCTGAGGAAAAGCCCTCCAGGGACCTGTCTCTCTGGTGCACTGTCTGGCTTCGCTGACAGCCATTTATTAAAGTCACATGTCTGCACCTTCATCTTCCGGCAGCACGGGCAGGGAGGCACGCCTTATTTCTAGTGCGGTGACTGCTTTTTTTGGAAAAGGAGCCCATTAGCATTCCTTCACAGGAGGTAAAGAACAGCTTTTTACCTTCCTTCATCCCGACCCATTTCACTCAGATGGTGGCCTTCCTTCACCGGCAGCAGGCCAGCAGCTTCTGGAAGGGACTTCTCAAATACTGGTGTGATCATGGGTTGTCTGGGGGTCCGTGTTTCCCTTCCAGTTTTCTTTATTTCTTTCATACAGGAACCAGAAACACTCCTTTGAGAAAGTCAAAAAAACATCAACAATTTCTAGCACACCTGCTGATATAGGCAACATTTTAGCTCTTTTCCGTCCGAATCTATTTAGTAGTTGTAAAAACAGAAAACACCAGGTAATGAGGAGGAAAGTTCTAGTTTTCTTAACATAGGCAAATCTAGGACTACGAGTTCACGAATCAAGAGTTATGTCGGAGTACATGCAAGGCTTTTTGGAAAAATAAAAGAGCTCATCAGGCAAAAATTGTGGAAAAACTAGTTTAGAAGGTGAGAACTCTTGTTGCTTCTGCATAAGACTCCGGTTTGATTCCAAGCACCTTCATGGTGGCTCACAACCACCTATATCTCTACTCCAGGGGATTCATCACCATCTTCTGGTTCCCATGGACATTGTACATCCATGGCACACATATATGCAGGAGAACATCATACATATAAAATAAACAAATTTAGAAGACAAATTCTAGTCATGGGACAGAACGTAAGCACAGAGACTAGGCATTAACTATAAACTTAAGCAGGAAAACCTAAAACACAAAGACATAAGCTAGAGATGAATGCCACCTTAACGGGAATGCCATGCTAAAAGACTGGTGTTCATGGGAATTATGCAGGGGTGCTAAATTAGATTTTGCTTTAAAATATAATAATTTTAAATATCACAATACCACAAGAAATATAAGATAAAGTGAAAAATTGAGGAGCTATCTTTGGGAGCAAAACCTTTGAAAATACAGCAATATACACAGTTCAAATATCACAATATAGCGATTTGTTTTCATTTTGTGTAAAATAATTTGACTAATTTTGTACACTTCATGCCAAGCTTCTAATCCTATTTAAAAGGGCTGCATTTGCTGTAATTCTCTTTTCTGTGGACTCTCACGTGCTGTGACTGAAACACACCTGCAAACGTTTATCAAGACGCTGAGCTTCGCCACCGGGACGTTCTCTCTAATAGTGTGCGACAGCCCTGAAGGCTCTAAAGGCAAACCTCAGGCGTAATTTTTCTTTATGAAGATTTTATGTAGCTCACTCTTCTGATAAAACCCAAATCCCGACCTATAAGACCAGTAGAGACTCAGGAGGGCGGCCATTAACTCATTCAGAGCCGAACTCCAATAACCACTTTGTGATCAGAGCAGGCACTATTATTTTCACTTTGGAAAGTTTATTGAAAAGAAACCAAGTAGAAAACATCTGGATAAGGTTTCCTCAAACATCAGGAAGAGACCAACCTGTTTACCACTAGCTCCCTAAGACTGTTTGTCCTCTGTTTAGCTAGCCAGAGCCACTGACTCCTTGTCAGTCATTGCTGTATTTCCTGAAACTGTGCTGTAAGTGCCAACCAATCCACAGGCTGAAAAACCCGTGTCCCTGCAGATGCCAGCCAGTTCCTCTTCTCAGGATTGGTCTCTAAATGCTGGCTGAATTCCAAATGCCACCGGCCACTGCCATCTTACAGGCTGGCCAAACTGTGAAGGCCACCCTTCCCCAGAGCCTGTAAGTTAGGCCAGCAATCGCTGTGCCTCAACCGCTGACCTGCTCTTTACTAATGAAGGTGGTAGGTTCAAATCCCCAGTTTCTTCAAGATATTCAAGGGTTAGTACTTTCACAATAATTTCCACTTCATTTTACTATTGTTATACTTAGCTTTAAATATTGATTTGTTATTGCTGTGTATGTGCATGTGTGTGCATGTGCCACGGAGCGTGTGGAGGCAGAGGGCAATTCTGTAGCGATTCTTTCCACTCCCCACCTTTACGCAGGCTTCTGGGTTGAACTCTGGTCGTCGGGCTTGCCGAAGAAACACCTTTACCCACTGAGCCATCTTGTTGGCCTGTGGTTTTAGTAAAATACAGACAAATTTTGAAATTTATTCACCACAGTTTGCCATAGTTGAAACTATCATAAATATCAGCCAAAGAATCAAGACTCATGGCTGCAGTGTTGGGTTTTCCGTGAGGAAATGGCTTAGTATAGAGGTTATGGGCCACCACGCCGAAGAACAATTCACAACGCGTATGTCTGCAAATTTAGAGGATCAAAACTGACCCAAGGGAAGAATTTTAAAAATGCAGTTAATCAAATGTTTAAAACAGTCCCAGGGGAAATGCCATTCACTGACTTAATAGATGCTTATTGAGGAACAACTTACTGTACACTATTCCGTCTGTACCCAATGCGTTTGTAAAATGCTGAAAAAGAAATCAGAAAAACAATCCCATTCCAATTGCCTAGAGTAAAAATACACACCTTTTTAATGAGAAGAGCAGCCCAACAAGAAAGAACAAAAACACGATATAAGATGGAAACAAAATAGGAGAAACTGGAATTAATATGTTGATGTTAAAAGGATCCACTAAACTTGCTCAGGAAATATTGAGTCACACAAAGTGGAATTGGCCAATGGAGAATTCTTAGGTCTCTTATCAGTGTGATCCTGCTGAGTAGTAGGGATGACCCTGGTTAACAGCTGGGCAGGAGGGAGGACCCTGGTTAACAGCTGGGCAGGAGGGAGGACCCTGGTTAACATCTGGATGTGAGAGAGGACCCTGGTTAACAGCTGGGCAGGAAAAACAGCCCTGGTCTGTCTTGGGATGACTATGGCAATATTTTTTACATTGTAAATCTTCCCACTTTTCCAAATAATCAAACCTTGAAATTTCTGTCTCTATAGAACATGTTTCATTGCTCAAAGTGTAACTTGGGGTCACGAAACCACAGAAGTCATCAATGTTTTTTGTTGTTGTTGTTGTTGTTTGTTTTTTGTTGTTTTGTTTTGTTTTTCCAAGACAGAGTCTTTCTGTGTAGCCCTGTCTGTTCTAGAACTCACTTTGTAGACAGGCTGACCTTGAACCCATAGAAATACGCTTGTCTCTGCCTTCCGAGTGCTGGGATTAAAGCCGTGCGCCACCATTGCCTGGGGCTCCAGTGGGGTTCTGTATGGGCTGGTGCTTTCTGGGCACTGTGCAGATCTAGCGGCACACGATTATTAGAGTTTTTCCTTTATTGATCTTTAGGTTGTAGAGTGATTTCTCATTGGGAAGACATATTGTTTCCATGCAGAAAGACCCTCTGTGTTTCTGGCAGACAGTAATAATTTTGTGGAAAGGGCTGTATTACAGGAACTACAGACATATAGATTTGATGCAGTCTCAATACAATTTTTAAGATGCTCTTCACAGAAATAGAGAAAAGTGTAAAATGATGATGAATCAGGAAATACCCTGGAAGAGTAAAACTCTGAGCAGAAAAGGTGATGCTGAAAGTATCACAATACTTTACTTTAAAACACACCATGGGGCCACAGCAGCAGGAAAAGCACCAGACCGACAATGAAAAAGAAAGATAAATCCACGGAATAGAATGGAGGACGCAGAATAAATCCTAGCTACTACCACCTGAGTGCTGACAACGGTACCCAAAGTTGTCATTGGAGAATGGAAGTTTCTTCCATAAACAGTGCTGTGACAATCGGGTCTCCACCTTTAGAGGAAGGAAACCCATCTCTCCTCCTGCACAGCATGTAGTTAAGTGACTCAGACACCCGACCACGAGGCCCGGCATGTCTGAGGCAGCCAGAACAACAGAGGAAAACAGGCATTTCTGAAGAGACTCACGAAATAGTAACAAGAATTTACAGTTGGGGTTGCTGGAGATTTGCAAGTGTCTGCACAGCAAAGCAAACTGTTAACAGAGTGTGGAGCCACATCCAGGAAATGAGGACTTCTGGAGGCTGTCCTCTAACCTCTGCTCACGTCAGGGCAAGCACACACATACACACACACATACACACACACCACACATCACATATGCAATAATAATAAGTCAAATTTAGCAAGTTTAATCAGCACATGGACAAACAAACTGATCACATAGCTCTAAAAGGAAGAGTAAATGGCCAAGAATTATATAAAATTTATTTATCATCCTTACCCATCAACAAAATAAAACTCCTGGACTGGATGGCTTAGCAGTTAAGAGCTCTTGCAACTCTTTGCAGAGGACCCAGGTTGGCTCCCGGCACCCACATGGTGAGTTATAACCATATGCAATTCTATTCTTGGACATTTAACACACTCTTCTGGTCTCCGAGGGCACGCACGCGCGCACACACACACACACACACGCTATACTACACTCATATCTAGAACATCAACACACATAAAAATAAATAAAAAGAAACTCATAACTACATTGACGGCTCATCTCACCCAAGAGAGAGCTGCTATCGTCAAAACAATAAACAACAATCAGTGCCAAAGACTAAAGAAAAAACCCTTCCCCCAATTCTGTGGGTGTGAAAGAAAATTAGTACAGCCACGCTGGAAAAATCGAGATGGAGGTTCCTCAAAAACTGGAAATGCCAGTCATGGATTTTTGGCTTAGTTAATGGTACCAGGAATGAGTTCCTTCCTAGGGAGAGAGCTCTAAATCCCGTTAGAAAACGGCTGGTTATTTCAGCAATATTTATGCAACTATGGCCGCTCTCCAGGCCAGCTGGTGCTGTAGCTCCAGCTTTCACAGATGGGCGAGACTGCTGACTACCCCCCCCCCCCCCCCCCCCCCGGTAACGCAGACAGAACCTTCCAGCAGTATGCAAGCGAGCTGTCGGGATAGATACTCCAGACGGGCAACACCCAGATTTCTCAGGGTTTTATCACTTAGTATGTGGTGTCTTTAGCAGCAGAGTCTCCCTGTCAGGTTCTGGAGGGCGACAGCGCAAAGGCACTAGCCAGAAATATCTGGGAAGGGAGTCTACCTGTCACTGGGATGTTTTCTAATAGCCTATGGTGTCTGTGAGTAACTCCATTTAATCTGTATATGCATATATTTTAGGAAGCTTCTACAGTAGTTGGTTTCTGTATGGCATTTTCAAAGGCCCTCCCCACACCCCTCTCCCCCAAATTACCCTGTCACATCATCAGGTGAACCTGGCAGTATTACTTTGCTAAAGATGATATAGCATTAAACTGCCCGAGTTCTTATTTATGCACTGATTTCTCAAGCCTCGTTAGAGCAGTTTTTGCAGAAGATAGTCAGAGATGCACGTCTGACCATCGTGCAGAAAGATTGTGGAGTGCCCAACTCTAAATGCGACCTCTACCTCATGCTCCCTGTCCCCAAGGCTCAGGGGTCATTGCAGAAGCAGGGACAGACAGATTGCAAGAGTCGGAAGACGTGGACACCTGCAGGGAAACAGTATTTGCTGGACATGACAGGGCCACACCATACATGAATTCACACGGCCGACTGTGCAAGGGACCTGTACAAGGTCAACTCAAGCACAGTCCCAGCATGGCTTGGGGGTAAGATCATGGAGTCCCATGCCATGCTGAGAAGCTATTGGTTGTTGATGGCTTCTGAGGGAGGAACAGTTAGCTTTCTTCAGAGGTGCGGCCCCCTGAGAGGCTGCCCCTCCATGCTTCAGCAGACGGTGCTGCACCCATGCACATATAGTCAGCTCTAAAGAGACTCAATGATTTTAGAGCGAGAGGGAGAGAGAGAGGGGAGCACACATGGAGTTGGGAGAGAGAAAGATGGTGGCTAAGATAATGACTCCGTAACAACAAGTTACAAGTAATTCTGAAAACAAAATTCAACTTTTATGAATTTTTCCTGCAGTCACTGTGATAACACAGTGATAAACACTGAAATAAATTTTCTTTAAAAGGGATTACAGCTGGGCATGGTGGTGCACACCTTTAATTCCAGCATTTGGAGGCAGAAGCAGGTAGATCTTTGTGAGTTTGAGGCCATCCTGATCTACAGAGTGAGCTCTAAGATAGCCAGAGCTAACACAGAGAAACCCTGTCTCAAAAACAAAGCAAAGCAAAGCAAAGCAAAGCAATAAAAAGGGGTGATAGCACTGTGGTAGGAGCTGCGGGCCACTTCTGCCGCCTGGCTTCTGGCCGCCTGGCTAGCTTATACCCCAAAATAACAACACACAAATTGTATTCATTTAAACACTGCCTGGCCCACCAGCTCCAGCCTCCCACTGGCTAACTCTCACAGCTTGCCTAGCCCATATTTAGTAATCTGTGTAGCACCAGTCTTACTGGGAAAGATTCAGCATGTCTGACCTGGTGGCTTGCTTCATCACATCTACCCTGGAGAGCAGAGGCATGGCGTCTGACCTCACTTCCCTTCTTCCCAGCATTCTGTTCTGTTTACTCCACCCACCTATGTTCTAACCTATCAGGCCAAGCAGTTTCTTTATTAATTAACCAATGAAATCAACAGATTGATATATGACACTCCCACATCATAGCACATCTGTAGGTACTTTCAGAAACAGGGTCCAGAGTTTTGACTGTACCTTGTTTCGCTTAAATACACACCGACAAATTTGCCAAAGGGCAGCACCCAGAGTACAAGGAAGCTGTTCTTTGGTCTTTGGGTTTGATGGTTGCTTGCTTTGCTATGCTGGGAAGCCAAATCAGGGCACCAAGTACATTAGGTAGACCTCAGTCCCTGGGTCATTCCTGCTCCCCCTAAAGCTAGTGAGGAACAGAGTCACCCCCACTTGCTTATCATCCACAGCAGATTCCAAACTATTGAGACAATAGAGGCCCATGTTCCATCAGGCCTAGAAAGAAGTATTAATGTCTTCTAGTCCCAATGAACATACTAAACACACTTTAGACCATTTATTGTAGCTTCTACCTGGTACAGTGACATGCTGACACACACGGATACGTGTGCAATCCCTCAGCAGCACTCAAACTCAGATGAGAGTCTGGGTGGATCCCTAACATGTGATGAGCAAGGAAGGGAAACTCAGTGGCTTTTGGTGCTGCCAACAAGGCAGGAGACCAGTAAACACGGCGGCTTCGCCATTCAGTCTAACAACTCATTTATTTTAAGTGTGTAAGTGTTTGCCTGCTTGTCTGTCTGGGCACCACTTGCATGCCTGGTGCCCGGGAATGCCAGGATGCTGTGTTCCCTGGAACTGGAGTTACAGACAGTTGTGAACTGCGGTGTGGGTGATGGGAATGGAACCTGGGTCCACTGTAAGAGTAGCCAGTGCTCTTAGTTGCTGAGCCATCTTTCTGGTCCAGAGCTCATTTCTTAAATAGTTGCATACTACAGTATTTTGTGAACATAAAACTATAAATTGACAAGTACACTAACAAAAGCACCCGTACATACTTACAGATATGTAAAGTATTTATACAAACATGTTAATACATATGTCCCTTGTGTTCATATTATATAATGACTATATAGCCACCTATCTGTGTTGTATGCAATATGTAGTAAATATGTATATAATATGTAATAAAGTTGTATATAATATATAAGAAATAAAAAAACATGGTTTTCATGTGCTTCCAAGTCATATTTCCGGTCTCAGAAGGACCCTGCTCTAGAAATGAAGATTTTTTAGCTGCAAAGGATGACATCAAAGAAAATGTTGATACAGGTAATACTCAATTGCCCTAATTGCCCTATCCAGCCACGTCACTAAACAACAGTGTGCAAGGATCATCATTCACTGTAGTCATCCCTTTCTAATTAAAAAACGCTTATCAATTTAACTGGATAAATAGTATCAAATTACTTATGTACTTCTGAGAACCATGCAGAACCTGAACAGTAGTAGTGGAAGTTTAAAAGGGTTAATTTTTAGGAAAGGCTGAAGATTAACTATGAAGTATTCCTACGGTCTCACTTAGCAAGCTTATCTTTCTCTTCAGTAGGAAGCAGCTTCTCGGTCCTTCTGCCTTTCTTGCTGACAATCAACCCATCGTCACTACAGTCAGTGACCATAAGACACAGAGTCTCTGAGACTTCCAACTCCAGACTCGGCCGCTTCTCGCTCATTTCTTCAAGCTTTGAGGCAAGTGTAAGCAAGGAGAAATGTTACTGCTCAAGAAAACTAACTTTTGTTGTTTTCATCATGTGCCTCTTACTTTCGCTGCCTGATTTTAGTGCATAAGAAGGTTTTTGTAGGGCTGGAGAGATGGCACAGGGCTTAAGAGCATTTGCTGCTCTTGTCTTTGGTTCGGTTCCCAGCACCCACCCACATGACAGCTCACAAAGTCTGTAACTCTAGTCCCGAGGGATCCAACATCCTCTTCTGTCCTCTGAGGGCACCACACACACATGTGGTGCACATATGTATGCGAAGGCAAAATATTTATAAAGTAAAAATAGATGCATCTCTTAAAAAGACTTCTGCTTCATTTAATTTAGCATTAGAAACTCGAATATTTTTTTTGTAAATTCTGCTTTATTTTTTCTGCTTGATCTAAAAACAAAACAAAACAGAGATTTTTAAGTTTCACATGGGTGAAAGTGTACTGCAGACACCAGCATGCCATGTCCAGTGCCTCAGGCCACGGGAGTGACAAAGCTTCCCCGGGCTAGGTTCAGGATGGCAGACCTTCCTGAGGAACCCGAATGTGAATGTTGACAGTGAGTTGTCATAGTGCCCTCCTCAGACGACCTGGAGACGCTCCCTCCAGAGCCTGCTCTTTGAGCTAGCTAAACCTTCCTCCTTGGCCCACCTGTGTGCTGTAACCCTGACTCTCTGTCAGCTGTCTGCAGTAATCCTGCCTCCTTGTCCAAGGGTATCGTAAACACACTAAGCAGCCAGTGCTTCGGCCTCTCCACCAAAGAGCCAATCCGCCAGATCCCAGCTTCCCTGTACCCATCTTTTCTTCAGTCCCCTCCCTGCCCCAATCAGGTCAATCCTGGGAGCTGCATGAGGATGCTGCCAATTTACAAAAATATTTTAATATTTTCTAGGAGGGAAAATGTCTACATTTATTTTTTCCAACACATCTCCAGATTTTTACGAATCTTTATCTCAGAACTCAGCATTTAATCTGAATCCAATATATTTTTTGGCTGATGATGCATGTTTGTATATGGATATAAGATCATACATTCTGAAGCCCGACCTTGAGAACGGGTAAGTCCACGTGGCTTCAGACAGGCCCTCCAGACACACCTTTGCCCTCACATTTGGCAGATTATTTGCTGAGGTTACAAATAATTACCTGGAACTGAGTTCTTCCCCTATAGCTACCCGGAAGTGGTTCTTTGTCAGGACAGATGTTTTCAAACACATCCCTAGCTGTGTGCTGTAACTCACAGCTGTGTTTGTCTGGCTCTCCATTATTCCCTGTTAGGTCTCCAGTGAAGGACGCTTTCTCATGGGCTTTCACTGCAGGAACTTCCAGATGGACAGGCGCACCCTCTCCATCAGATTTCTTGTTTATTTCGGGCTCTTCAGACATTTTCTCCAGATGCAAAGGAGGAGGACGGCTTTGTGGGCTTTCCTTCTGATACTGAGGGTGGGTTGGCCTGGCTGGACCTGCAGATGTGTTTTGTGTTTGGGGGCATGTCTTTGAGAGGACTTTATGCTTCAGGAGCCACAGGATACAGATGAAAAAAATAGAAATAAATATATAGTTTACATTTAAATTTCTTAACCTATGTCTGGATATCAGAAATTACTGAGCAGTAATTGAAAAAGAGAAAAATAATTTACTTACCCAATATGAACTGAAAAAGTTATGTTAATCACTGTTGTTTGGACAAAACAATTATGAGTTAAATTAATTATTAATAATCCTCTGCGGTGTTAACTTACCAAAGATAAATTACTCATTTTTAACATTACAAATTTGTCCTCATATAAAAATATTTGACCTCACTGGGCCTCAAAAAGAGAGCATGCCTGTAGCTTCAGGTCACTGTCTGACAGGTAACAGGAAGCCTGAGACTTTATAGACGGACCCAAAACTTTATCTTACTAAAGCCACAGCACTAACACCAGTCACACAGAAACAAATTACCAAGTAACATGCTGTTGTACAGCCGCATGGGCTCAAGTGTTAAGGTTTAATATGCTCTAACAGCCTCCACTGCACTCTGAATCTCTATGCTACCCACAGACAAAGCCACTCTCAGCCTTTGTCAGAGGAGCCTGACAAAGAACAGTAGGTGATGCTGTTGAACCCTGGAGTCCAGTTACCCAGGAGGAATCGCCCCAAGAGACCATTCTCACACCACAGTTGATGTAAAAGCATGAGGATTTTTATTAATTCTGTCGTGACAGGGTCTTTCAGCATTTGGGAAGCCAGAAAGACCCTGAATAACTGGTACAGGTTACTTTTAAACTAAAAAGCCACAGAAACAAGGGGGGAGTCTGGGGGTTGTTCTTTAACTATTATGATTGGCTTATTCAAAGGGCTATTACCAATAATTGGCTAGAGAGCAGTTGCCAGATCAGGTGAGGTAAGGGGGAACATCTGTGGATTACTTTGACCCCTTCCCAGGGACTGAGTCAAAACATCTGTGGACATCTGTAGGCTATCTTGACCCAATTTCAGGAATGGAGCTCTATTTGGAGAACACTCACAAGGACATAGGGAGATGGAAAGTTCCCAACATTTCAGTACGTGCATGTGTAGTTGCTAGGTCCTTGGTTCCCAGGGAAGGGGGGAGCACTACTGCTGAGAGGCCTCAGAGCCATCAGAAATGGCTTCGGAGTTATTTTAGAGTTCTACAATGCAAAGGGTTCCCAGGGTGCTGAGAGTAAGTGGCTGCTGCGTGCTCAGCCTTAAACAAGGCATTCATAGCGGCCCCTTCAAGGCTTGGGGAACTGTGAAAAGGAGGCAGAAAGAATGTAAGGCTGAAAGATAGGGTGGCGAATACGAAATGTCATCCCAGACTCAACACAACCCATGCAATCCTTAACTTGCAACAGTTATGGCTGCCTGCATTGGGCTTACACAAGCCTGACCAGTCAATAATCAGTCACGGAATGGGGAGGGGTTCAGGGAGTCTACCGTTTACTGCTAACTATTGGGAGAAGGGAAATCATGGTCTTTAGTTGTATACCCACAGCTGAGACCACTGAGAACCAACAGCTCTGGAAACATGATCATGCAGATGCCCCTTGTAAAACTCAGTGGGTCACAAAACAGCATAAATAGGCTTGGATGTGAGAGATTTTTGGGAATGGAGGTTGATAGGGGTGGCAGGGAGATGGGAGGGGTGGGGTGGGGCAGTAAGCATTGTGGACATGAGGGAAATGTTCTAAGAACAGATGCATCACAGCATGCATTTGACACTGATTTGACAACACAGAAAGGGGCGATTGATACAGGGTATACACTAACTACAGTGAGATGTCTCCCAGCAGTATAGGCTTATCATCAAGCCTCTCTCCTTCAATACAGATGCTGAAGACAGTTATCAACCAAGAGACAGTATTAATTCTTTGAATTTCCCACTAGCTATTGCAGGTATGGGAATGATCTCCAACAGTGGCCATCATTGTTAGGTGTGTGGAAGTTCAGCTACACAGGTCTGTGGCTCAGAACTGACTTCTCTCTGTCCCAAGAGGATGCTACACACAGACGCAAGGAAAATATTCAGAAAAATCCTTGTTCTCAAGCAACATGTTTTAACTGACCATACTCTGAGAGTATACTGCTTTATAAATAGTTAAAATGTTTCAAAAATTAAATGTCAAATATGATATAAAGATTTCTTCTGAGCCAGATGTGGTGGCGCACGCCTTTAATCCCAGCACTCGGGAGGCAGAGGCAGGTGGATCTCTGTGAGTCTGAGCTCAGCCTGGTCTACAGAGAGAGTTCAAGGACAGCCAGGGCTACATAAAGAAACCCTGTCTTGAAAAACAAAAACAAATAAACAAAAATTGCTTTTGAAAGGCTATTATGAAGTTTGGAGTATGGCACATTATATTAACACAAAGGAAACACGAACGAGAATTTATATTAAAATTGCGCATACTTGCAGCTGGGTATTTTCAGTGCCATCAAGACTCTTTTGTTCTGACTGGGTTGTCGCCTCGGAGTCTGATTCTGCTGTAACACATATACAAGTCTCTTAAAAAACTACTCACTTAGAAGAGCAACACTTAAAAATAGATGAGAAGGATAAAACGCTAAAAGAATAATGGTTATTGTCAATTTCCAAATTAAAAATTTAAATCAAGCTTAATACGCAGGTGGCTCCTTTATTAGAAAATATTTATAAGCAAACTATTCTATGCACACATGCATGTGCTCACACACACATACACACGAACACGCATACACACAAACATGCATACACACGAACACGCATACACACGAACATGCATACACATGAACACACATACACACGAACACGCATACACACGAACACACATACACCCGAACATGCATACACATGAACACGTATACACACGAACATGCATACACATGAACACGCATACACACGAACATGCATGCACAAGAATCCACATTCAGAGATACACAAAGACACACCTGCACACACACCCTTTTGCGATATTGGGCTTGATGAAGCCTTCTCCTAAATGGCAGAAACTGTGATTATCCCAAACCCGACAACAGTTGTTCAGGGGAGAGCTTCTTCTCATCAGCCATGTTGGAAAGATTCTACAAACCCAAAGCTTTGGCTTTGAGAACAAAATCCTCAGAAGCAAACATTAAAACAGGAGAGTGGGAAACACACAACCACACCATTTTTTGTCTTAACATAATACATTTTAGACAACCCATGTTATCAATCATTGATTCCAAAATTAATAGGATGTTTCTGCACATTTATATTTGAATACCCTATTCCTTATATCACACGTGCTTTTGTTCATTTCGAGACAAATTCCCTTTCTTTGCTGCAGCCTAGGTCCCACAGATGACTGTGCAGATGAACAGGTGTCCTCCCTATGAGCCCCTTACAGTTTATCTGTCTCTAATAGTGGAACTCGAGTTATTGAGTAGTGCTCGATTCCTGAGTTAGCTCAGCTGGTAAAGGGCCTGTCGAGCAAGCACGAGGACCTGAGTTCAAATTCCTGGCAGCTACTTAAAGCTGAGTAAGGTTGCACAGGTCTAACCCTAGCATGCTGGCCAGCCACTGTGGATAAGTGATGAACTCTGGGCTCAGTGAAAGATGATGTCTCAAGAGATAAAGTGGGGCCAGGTGATGGTGGCACAAGCCTTTAATTCCAGCATTCGGGAGGCAGAGGCAGGTGGATCTCAGTGAGTTCAAGGCCGTGGTCTACAAAGCAAGTTCCAGGACAGCCTGGAGAGAAACCCTATCTTGAAAACAAACAAACAAAAAAGAAAGAAAAGAGAAAGTGTGGGTGAAGTTGGGGCAGCAAGATGGCTTAGTGGTAAGGGAGTGTCAGAGATCACCTCTCAGGCACTCATCTCTGACACTCATGTGCTGTGAGCAGGAAACCAACTCCCACAAGCTGTTCTCTGGATGTGAGTTATGGCACATTCCTCTGTGGGTGTGTGTGTACGCACAAGATAAACAGGTATTAAAGAGAAAAAGAAGATGAGGTAGGAAACAATAATGGAAGTTGTTACACATCAACCTTTGACCCTCACGCTTGTGGTACACACACATATAACACACTCAGTCACACACCACATACATGTGTACACACATTTGTTTTAATTTCTTTTTAAAAATATTTTTATTTATTTATTATGCATATGAATGTTTCATTTGCTGATGTGAGATTCCCCTCTGTCTGCCGTGAATATCATTGGTTAATAAAGAAACTGGCTTGGCAGAGTAGAACTAGATGGGGAAAACTAAACTGAATGCTGGGCAAAAGAAAGCAGAGTCAGGAGAAGCCATGTAGCCCCACTGGAGACAGATGCCAGAACTTTACCCAGTAAGCCATAGCCTCGTGGTGATACACAGATTAATTGAGATGGGTTAACTTAAGATATGAGTTATCCAGAAATACACTTAAGCTATTGGCCAAACAGCATTGCAAATAATATAGTTTCTGTGTGGTTATTTCGGGGATGAGCAGCCAGGACAAACAAGCAGCCTTCTACAACAGTCTACATGTACATCTGTTTGCACATGTGTGCCTGGTGCCTGTGAAGATCAGAGAGGGCATCGGATCCCCTGGAACAGGAGTTACAGGTGGTTTTGAGACACCATGTGGGTGCTGGGAATTGAACCTTGGTCCTCTGCAAAAGCAACTAGTGCTCTTAACCATTGAACCATCTCTCCAGCCCCTTGTTTTAGTTTCTATCCCATGAATTCTTTCCTTTTTAACTTTTGAGACAGTGTCTCTCTATATAGCCCTGGCTGTCCTGAAACTCATGATGTAGACCAGGCTGGTCTTGAACTCACAGAGACCCACCCACCTCTGCTGGGATTAAAGGCACATCCCTATGCCTAGTTTATTCCATGAATTTATACAAGCTTCAGGCACTGGACACTCAAGGCTGAAACAGGCTTTACAGACAACCGCTGTGGAGCTGATGCTTGAGTCTGGGTTTCAGAGAAACAGATGATCTGCCCAGACCAGGAGCAGCACGACACACTTGCCTAAAGACAAGTGTCAGAGATCCCAGACAACAGGGCTAGACACTCTCAGGAAGAAGTCTGATTTTAAAAACCTTGCATGTGTTTCCCACTGGCATGGGGACTTGTGTCCTCGGGCTGCGCAGCACTCAGGAAGGCACCAGATTAACTGATACGCGGGTATACACAGTGAAGTAGTCAAACAGACCAGGTGTCGGGGAAGGACCCCGACTGATGGACAATACAGTCTCACATCTGCTGGTCAGCATGTGCATGCTCGCACGGTTCAGCCTGGGGACTCCAGAGATCGGCCACCTTGGAACCAGTGGCCTGCTTCCAAAGTCTTCACTGCTCTGTCTGGACTCCGGCCTCAGGCTGCCCTGATCAGACAACTCACATTAAGATTGCCAAAGGAATTTTAAACTCTGGTAAGATATTAAAGGCCTATGTCTTTTTCTGATTTCTTTATGACTGATCCTATGTTTTCTTCTCTTGAGCCTCTGAAATGAGGAGAAAAGCAGTTTCCACAACACTGAACTGTGTACCTATATGGCTGACCACACACATTTAAATTTATTTATGATTAAAACTGTAAGACAACTGTGTGACCTGGCACCTTAGGTCTCTGGGGGACTCTCAATGGCGGGGAAGACAGGAGTGAGAGAACTTGGTTCTGTTTGAGGTCTCCGTCTTTGTGACGAGAAGGATTCCAATTCCCCAGCCTTCACTGGGCAGGCGAGCCTGTGGCCTGCCTCCCCACCTGCCCCACTGGCCTTTCCTTTCCTCCCCTTTCCCCTCCCATTTCTTAGTTCTAACTTTCCTCAGATCTTAGACTATCTCGGCGTGGAATTAATAATGAGTATTTAGTGGTGCTCTCGGTTGTAGAAGGATAGACACCCCGTTCCTGCTTTTCTTGTCCTTTCCTTCCTATGCGTTTAGTTGGTACATTGCTTTGGCTGCAGGCCACATTTCTGTCACTCAGTGGGCGAACGCGATTTCCAGTGACTTTCGGGATGAGCTGCTCTTACCTCCTGAGTGCTCATCTTCTAGACAGTTCCCCCTTTGACCCGTGGCATCAGAGGAGATCCCCTCACACTTGTTTGGCAGATTCTCAGAGACACTCTGAAAAAATTAATATCCATAATTATTCCACAAAGATCCAATCGTTTCATAAGAAGGTATCTGAAGTTTTATTTATTTTTTCTATATTTTCCTTTGTTATTAAAAACCATTGACAATAAAAATGTCACACACCAAAATTAACCAGATCCAAAGACAGCAAAAGTTAATAACTTCTTAATGAAGTTCCTATTTCAAAAGACATTGTTTTAAAATTAAGTGTATGCTGAGTTCCAGAACATCTCTGTATAGCATCTTCTGTATGGTTTATAGATCAAGCCAATACTTTTTCTTTATATGGTAACCAAGTCTTGCATATTAATCATGGGGCCCATGATCATCGCGTATATGAACCAACACAGAATGGCATGCACACCTCAACAAGGAACGACACTTAGGATCCCAGCTTCCAATTTGTATTTGCAGTGAAATTAAATGTCTATATAAAAATTTTAAATAAAATTTTATATGTATACCGCCTTTAATATAGATGAGGGCAGAAAAAATTCTATGTCTTTGAGGCATACACACACACACACACACACACACACACAATGTGTAGTGGTTGGTGACCTCATCACATTGCACACTTACCTCACCCCTACCAAGTGCTTGGGTCACTAGCCTGTGCATAACCATACCCAGAAAACCCCCGGCCCTGCTTTGGTAGTTAAGCTCCATATTCGCTATGATGAGAAGTACCAGATTGCATCCTGGTGAACATAGCGCAGGGTGGTAGAACCTTCATTTAGATAAACAAGAGCTTAGATGACCTAGATATATAGTGGAAAAATACTGCTGGGAAGCGGTTGACTAAAATGTGAAGAAAACCTTTATGTTAAACACCCCTAAGAGGGGCTGGAGAGATGGTTCAGGGGGTAGGAGCTCTGACTGGTCTTCCAGAGGAGCCAGGTTCAATTTCCAGCACCCGTGTGGTAGTTCACAACCTTCTGTAGCTCCAGTTAGACATATGGGTAGACAAACACACACTTAAAATAAAAATAAACCTAAAAAAGACTATCATGCAAATATTAGACCTGCCATGGACTCTTTCTTCATTACATAAAAACCACGAAGTATTTCAAGTCTAGAGAAAAAGGAATGTTAGGAACAATTACTTATACACAGCGTGGTGGCACACACCCTTAATCCCAGCACCCAGGAGACAAAGGCAGGTGTATCTTTGTGGGTTCAAGGCCAGCCTGGCCTACAAAGTGAGTTCCAGGACAGCCTGAGATACACAGAGAAACTCTGTCTCGAAAAACCAAAGCAACCAACCAAACACAACAACAAAAAACAACACTTACTTACTAAATATTTACAAAATGCCAGGTGCTTCTAGTATCTCAAGTGACACTCAAGGTGGTTTAGGGAGCTGATGTCATGGCATTGTCTTCTATTGCTTAGGAAATAGAGCAGTCTACATGGCTATGAAATATCATGCATAAATAACCAGATATATGACTAGGCAATATCACGCCTAAATAACCCGGCCTTCACTAGTGAACAGTTTTCACTAAGAGAAAATCAGAATGAAACTCATTGTCAGTAAAAGAGCAACTACCTCGTTTTCAGGGTTTACTTTCTCCCAGGCCAGGATTTCTTCCTCTAATATTTGGAACTCACTGTAGGACAGCCTGTCCTGAGGATCTTCACCCGCCAAAGCGCTTGCGGTCCTGCCACCAGGCGGCGCGGCACTGGCAGTTCTCGCTGTTCGCGCCGGGGCCTCGCAGTTACTGTGCAGGGGCTTCTGGGTCAGGTCCGGTGTGCCTTTACTTTTCTTGTGAGTGTCGCGAAGGGTAGAATCACTCCAACTGTTAAATTCACTCGTGTGACTCCTTTCTGTGGATTCTGAAAGCCTTTTGGAGTCACTGGATTTCGACATGTGTCTGCCATCCAACTGCCAGGCCATGTGTTTTGGTCTCAGAGTTTTTTGCAACTGGCTCTTGAATTCAGGGCCGTCTTGCTTTCCTCCCATACACGCTTCTGCGCATTGACGGCTACTCTTCCCACTTTCTGAAGTTTTAGAAGATTTCTCCTTGCTTTTATGAAGCAATTCTTCTATTTCGGACTTGTTACTTTCACGGTCTAATTTATGTTTCATTAAGGGAGATTTAGTGACTGACTGGCCACTGTGTTCCAAGACCTGAGAGAAAGAGGGAGACGGAAAGATGTTTCTAAGGCCACCCTCCTTCTGTCTGGGATAGTTCTGCAGTGTTACAGCGGCCAGTGCAGCAGCTGTGTCTCTGGCTTCACGGCCAAGCATATCCCAGGCCAGTTTAGGGGTGGCCGACTTCAGGGATGTTTTTCCTGTAGAGTCATCCCGTGGTTGCTCTTCCTCATGGTGAACAGTAATTTTGACAGCTTCACAGATCTCACCGACCTTCTGGCTTAGCTTGTTTTCGGCAAGCTGTCCAGTATCTTCACCTTCCAGTCTGTCTCCTTCTATTAACACTCCCCTGAGCACTTGCCCCTTGGCAGATCTTGAATATCCATCTTCTCCATCAGAAGCCGTGCTCCCCTCTGGCTCCTGGTCTTGCTCGTGGAGTTGTAAAGGTGGGGAGCCCCTCTGCTTAACTTGATGCTGGGATGCTCTCTGTGCCAAGGGATGCTTCTCCAGCTTATCCTTGTCCTTGGAAATCATAGGGCATGAACAAAAACCATTAAATAATTTAACACGTACCTTTAGCTTTTCATAATATACATTTAGTTACACAAAAATCACAACAAGCAAGACTAACAAATAAAACTGGTTTAGGGCTGGTGAGATGGCTCAGAGAGTAAATATAAAAGTGTGTGCCACCGAAGACTGACAACCTGAGGTCAACCCCCAGAACCACAGGGTAAAGAGACAACCAGCCCCCCCCCCATTGTTCTCTAATCTTCTTGGGGTGCTGAGACATGTGCACGTGCCCACACATACAGCAAATGTGTGTATAAAATACCTCATTTACATTAGTCCTCCCAGGAGACTTAACACTATCACTACTACTTAGACTAATCCTCACTTGGTATATGTTAGGTAATTTTAAATACTACAAGAACATTCTCACATAAAAAGATTTTATTTCACCATTCTTTAAATATTAAGCCCAGATGTTCACTGACATTTAGTCTCTGAAAATCAGTAACTGAATAGTGCGAGAGCTAAGATATTCACCTTCAAAACGGCGACACCGTGTGTGCAAAGACAGATTAACATAGAAGAAAACAATTTCAACATGGTGTTTGAATAGCCTGCAATTGTGACCGTTTCCTAAGTTTTCCCAGGCAAGATACAGCTTAAAGAATTACAAAGGAGGAGCATCACAACATCAGCATCCTGAGCTCAGGAGACAGCCAGTCTGAAGATGCTCTTAGCACCTCTGCTGCTATTGTGGCTTGAGAGGCTGGTTGCTGATACAGTGCAGAAATATGTGGCCTGTATAATATTGCCCCAGAGGAGTTCGATTCTCAGCATCCGCATGGTGACCCCAGTTCCAGGCCTCTATGGGCACTTCATACAGGTGGTGCACATACAAGTAGGCAAAACACCCATAGACATAAATAAAACTGATAATAAATAAAACTGATAGTCTGAACTCCCTTTCTGAATCTCATTAGGACTCTTACACAGCAAAATATGCCAAAGAATCATAGGGTACATCAAGTAACCTGGAATCATTCTTCAGACTGTAGATAGCAGTCACAGCCCATAGTGATCCTCATGACTTCTACGGCCGCATTTCTGTACCATATATACCATAACAGTTTTATTAAAATGAGTCTTACACAGTGGCGGAATTGTCCTCATCATCAGTCAGCAATCCCTAGTAGCAAGCACACACTACCTGTTAATTCTACAGGAGGAACGTGAGGAAATAATTCTGGGCAGAAATGTCACTTTCTTTCCTGGACCTGCTTATTTGCTGTTCTGTATGTCTCTTGTACACTGATAGGCATCCCTTCTTTAGGTGAGGAACATCTTCCATATTTAGTTGAAAATATTTTCTGTGCCATTGCCCTGGGTTTCTTCTCTTCTTTTCTTGCTATTCCTAGGTTTGGTCTTTTTTATAGTGTCTCAGATTTCCTGGATGTTTTGTGTCTGGATGTTTTTGGATTAAATGTTGTTCTTTTTTTTTTTTTTTTAAAAAATAAGCTACCCAGTTCTTCTATCTTGTCTTTAATGCCTGAGAGTCTCTCTTCCCTGTCTTTTAATCTGTTGGTGAGGCTTACCTCAGAGCTTCTTGTTTGACATGCTAAGTTTTTCATTTCCAGTTTTATTTCAGTTTGGGCTTTCTTAGTGATTCTATTTGTTAAATTCTACTTTCATGGTTTATGTTGTTTTCATTATTTCTTTCAATCATTTGCTTGCATTTCTATGTATCCATTAAGGCATTTACTAATATCCCCTCTAAGGTCTTGAACATATTCATAATTGCTATTTTGAAGCCATTGTCTTGTGCCTCAGCTAAATTGCTTTTCTCAGGGCCTGTTGCAATTGGGTTGCTGGTTTCTGGAGGAGGCATATTGCCTTGAATGCTTGTGTTTTTGTTCTGGGGTCTAGGCATCTGGAGTGATGATATTTGAGGTGTTACTTGGTGTAGATGTCTGGTCTCATTTCTGTTGGTTGGATGATTGATTCTTTGGTTGCTGTTGCTCGCCCTAGGTCCTGGGTGATGGCTGTGAGATCCATGTACTTGTATGGGGTTGAGTGTTTCCATGGGTTGGTGGGTATTATAAAGGCATGGAGATGAGCGAGAAGGAAAGGGTGAGGGGGCAGCAGGAAAGAGCTAGAGGGACCCTGGGTCCCCACCAAGGGGTGGAGTCCCCAAGAAGTGGAGGTGAGTTGTGAGGAGGGTTTCTGCTGCACAGGCCTGAGTTCATCTGGAGAGAAGAAGATGAAAGAGTTAGGGGACCTGGATCAGCCAATTTATGTGATGTGAAAAATGGAAAACCTTATTTTAGAATCTCCTGGTTTTCCTAATTCTGTATCGGCAGCAGGCACACAGTTCCTACTTCCTAGCTTTGTCATATGCCATGGAAGGTAATAATTGGACAAAAAACTACTAAAATCATAAATCTATCACCATTCAAATCTTTGATTTATAAGCCTTCAAATACTTTCCAGATACTGTTCAAAGTTGGAAACTTGGGCCCAACACTGACACATTGCACTACTCAGTTACACACTCAGCTGTGGCATTCACAGATGCTAAATCTCACATGTGGGTTCTTTTGGGGTCAGGAGAATATAATCGTGAGGATTCCTGGGTTTTCAAGCTGACAGAGTTTTATGTTAATATTTAACTGTCAATATTGAGGTGCAGTAGCCGCGTGGTGGAGCACTAATTACAGACACTGGGGTCTGAGCTCTAACAGCCCAATTCAAAGGGGAAACACAATAAATACTAACGTCAGTCACACCTTTTGCGAGGGCTACCAGGTGGCTTTATTAGAGGAGACCCTTGAAAATGCAGACAGGGGCTTTCCAGAGAAAGGTTTGTAGATTCTGTTGCTCATCTTGCTTTCGTTCTTTGCTGACAGGTACTGACTCTTAGAACACACCACGACTCTTAAGTGGTCACTGCATGTTCCACACATCTTTGTGCAACATGGAGGCATTTTTAGGAGAAGACAAATCTGAATTGCACACAAAATGCAACATCTACATTTTAAAATCTTCTTTCTTTTTGAAGTGTCGCAGATGAAGAATCCTGTCCAGTGCTGAGGCTGTGGCTCAGGAGATGGACTTCCTACCATGCCCTGAAGATAGATTGCAGGAATACAGCCGACCCCTTTATTACTAGGCTGCAAATGATGCTTGTTTTTCTTATGATATAATTAATTTTTCTACAGTCCCACAGTACGGGCTAGAAAGATGCACTGGGCAGTTAAGAGCACTGGCTGCTCTTCCAGAGGTTGGTTTCCCAGCACCCACACAAGGCCCCTCACACAACCCACACACAACTGCCTAACTCCAGCTCCAGAGGATCCAACACCTCTCTCACCTCCATGGAAAAGAGCACACAGGTACACATATGCACGCTTGCACATACACACATATAATAACAAATCTTTTTAAAACTCTACATGCTAATAAAACAAAAAACATTGAAGGAATAAAAATTTACATGTTTCTGCTAGGTAGTTAGAACCATGGGACACCAGAAAAATTCCTTGATCACTATGATAAGTGACTATATTAAAATTTTTTATTTTTTTATGTGTATGAGTGTTTTGTCTGCATGCATGCCTGGGCACCATGTGTGTACCTGATTTCTATTGAAGTCAGAAAAAGGTTGCTGGGAATGGTGGCGCACACCTTTAATCCAAGCACTTGAGAGGCAGAGGCAGTTGGATCTCTGAGGTTGAGGCCAGCCTAGTCTACAGAGTGAGTTTCAGGACAGTCAGGGCTGTTACACAGAGAAGCCCTGTCTCAAAAAACCGAGGGGAGAAAGAGAGAGAGAGAGAGAGAGAGAGAGAGAGAGAGAGAGAGGAGGAAGAAGAAGAGGAAGAGGAATGGAAAGGAAGGAGGGAGAGAGGGAGGGAGGGAGGGAGGAAGGAAGGAAGGAAAGAAGGAAGGAAGGAAGAAAGAAAGGAAAGAAGGAAGGAAAGAAGGAAGGAAGGAAGGAAGGAAGGAAGGAAGGAGCATCTGAATCCTGGAACTGGAGTTACATATGGTCGTGAGCCACCGTGTGGTCTTTTATAAAATCAGAAAGTGTTCCCAACCACTGAACCAATTCCCCAGATCTGTGACTACAATTTTTGTAAGCATGAGGATAATAAAAGTTGTATTGGTGTCATTTAGGAAATGACCCAAAGGTATATTTGTCCCAAAAATCCCCCCAATTTTAATTATTTTATTGTGGGGGGATGTTTAGCTAATTTAAGATTCCCATCCCTGTTTTTCCTACCACTTCAACCCCCGCTGTCACAGAGTACTTCTCTCCCTTTGTGAGGGTTCCAAGGACAAACCAACCTACTAATTCTCATTACGGAGGCTGTTTTCTCCAACCAACTTTCAGTATAAAAGGATAATAAGTAGATTATTATTGAATTTAAGAATAAATGCTAAAACAATCCACACTCAGAACAAAAAGATTAACCTCAAAGGATCTTACCTTTGTTTGAAAACCACACCCTTTCTTTCCTGCTGTGGTCGCAGGGTCACTGGGGTCTTGTTTGGTGGGGAGCCTTCGGAAGGAAAATATGAAGTAAAGAAAGAGTTCTGGTTCTTTAGAACTGGCTCACCCCACCCGTGATAGTGTCAGGCACACAAAACTGTGTTGTATAGAAAACCTACTTCTCTATGCTGAGGTTCAATAACTCATTCTATGCTATAGCCACTCTGCTTTTCTCAGAGAGAAGCTAGGAATGTTTTTGTACTGGTCTTATGAAGAACCTATATGATTTGAATGTTTATCAATGACAGTCTTCTAATCCATTTTTAGGTAAACACATATAAAAACATTTCTCTTTAATGAATGAACAGGTTAAAAGCTATCCATTTGGTAGTTTTTCATAGGAACCGGGGAATGCTATACTAATAATTGTATTATTTGATTAAAATAAAATGTGGTTGGTTATGAAATATAAGAGATAAAAAGGTCATATTTAGGAGTTTGAGAAGAGTTACTGAGTGCGGGAGACTATGTCAAATTTAATAAATATGTCCCAAATTCTTGATTCATCATGAATATGATGATATAGACCCCAAATATTCTAAACTCGTCAGCGTTACTAAAAGCGATCTGATCCTCCCTGCTTGGCGTCTCTGTCCTTAGGAATGGCCGAGAATCTGCCTTTTAATTACACTCTCATCTTCAGTGCCTTCAATATTCTCCCACACACTTCATCTTTAAAGCCCTGACCTCCAGAGTGATAAATAAAGGCTACTGTCGTTAGCCCTGCATTGCGTCACTTACTGCGACACCACATGGACTCTCCATAGGGTCAGCACAAGCAAAGGAAAGCAAAGCAGGGAAACAAGAGCAACAAGTGCGTTCACCGTTGATGAGAACAGAGTAGAGAAAATGTAAGGAAGTGGGCAGCAGTAGTAGCTCCAGGGAGATACAAATAGGGAGTCAGGAAAATAAAAACTGAGGGTGGTGGTGGCACATGCACACCTTTAATCCCAGCGTGTGGGAGGCAGAGGCGGGCAGATCTCTGAGTTTGAGGCTAGCCCAGTCTACAAAGTGAGTTCCAGACAGCCAGGGCTACACAGAGAAATGCTGTTTAAAAAAAAAAGAGTAATTCAAATAGCTTCTGGACAGATTTAAACACTGATAGCTGAACATTCTCTACATGTAGAAATGATTCACTTCCAGAAAAATAATTTCTCTCCAGAAGCTGCATGATTTTGTTATGTATAAAATTAATGGTACTATGGCCACAGGTTTGAGATCTGCCCTCAATCCTTCAGTGGTGAAAACAGGCATAGGTTATGACTGCAGCTGTAAAATTATTAAGACTGTGATTGGAGTCCACTAAGCTTGTTGGGAACACTCTGTGCGTGAGTTGATGTTATATGAAGCAGTTTCCTGGGTCTATTGACTATGAGGAAGAGTAGGAAACAAACACCCAGAAGGTGCACAGGCCAATCATATGGGTCAGCTTCTTGGTAGTTACAGAAACCACCTACTGGGGAAAATGGGTTATGACAGACAGCATGCATACTCTGCAAAGGAGCTGTGATGGCTGAAATAGTGTCAGGCAGGTCACGTGGCAGGAGCTGGAGAGCACTAATAAGCACCAGTCTCTTTTCCTGAGCTCAAATAAATCTTTAAAACCCTACCTTAGGATCGCGTAGGATTCAGTACTTTCAGCTGATTCTGAAGGTAAAGGAAAAATACATTGTTAGTCAGCAATATAAAATAATAGAAGAGATGAATATAATGTATTAAAAGTGTATATCGGATGACTGTTTGGGAGTATAATAAATTTGGAGCCATACATCAAGAGAATTCTAGTGACAGGCAATCCACCAGTCTGTGGACTTCAAAGCAAAAGAGGAAGAACCTTGTCTGTCAGTGCACAGTGACCATGACTGTCAGTGCACAGCACCAGACCGACAGACATGACTTTAGCAGAAGAATCAGTGTGAGAGGCTGACAGTGTCAAGCAAGTGATGTGACTGCCCTGGACTAATGGCACTAGGATCAGTGCTAAGGGTGTGTGCTTTTTTATTTTTAAATACTTTTTTATTTTTATTTTACCTGTGTGGATGTTTTGCCCACATGAAAATCTGTGCACCTCCTGTATGTCTAGGGCTTGCAGAGGCCCGAAGAGGGCAGTGGATTCCCTGGAACTTGAATTTCAGATGTTTTTAAACCATCCTATGGGTGATGGGACTTGAACCTGGGTCCTCTGGAAGAGCAGCTAGAATCACAACTGAGTCACCTTTCCTCTTTGTGAACTTGTTTTGGTATCACACAACACAGCTACTGTAGGGCTTCCGGGGAAACTTCTCGGATTCCAATAAAAAGCCCTGCCATAAGCAACACTTGTAAATGGTCGTGGTCCTGTAGCTTTGCAAAATGTAACGGGCAGAGGAGGAGCAAGGATCCTTTTCAGTCTCCAGGCTCCAGCAGAAGGAAAGATGGAGAGGCATCAAGACGCTGCTCTTGTTTGGGAACACTAACAACTCTCTCAGTTCCAGCTGTGCCCTCTACTGTGTGTGCGGTGGAAATGGCTCAGTTGTCTGCCATGAACTATCTCATGGGAAGAACATTCCTTGATGAGTAACCCACTTCTTATCATACTTACAGCCAGAGATAGGCTTAAGATGCACCATTGAGGGAAGAAAGTTGTTATCTGATATAAAAAATATAGAAATAAAATCATCTCATTCAGGCTTCAGAATGGGTCAACACAGGGCTCTCTGTATATAAAGGAAACTTTCTTTACACCATCTTGAAAAATACGTAGTGGAACTCTCTCAGCTTTTCCCCAGGACGTATAATATATTACACTCATGGAAAAGTAAGGTAATATATATTGCAGAGTGCAGTGTGTGTGTCTCTCTGTGTGTGGTGTGTATGTGTGGTGTGTGTGTGTGGTGTGTGGTGTGTGTGTGTGGAGTATGACTTCCTTAGCGTGTTGTTAGCTGTGATGGTCTGAATGAGAATGGCCCCCATTGAGAATGGACGAAGTTTGAACACTTGGTCCCCAGATGGTGGTACTGTTTGGGAAGGATGAAGGAGTGTGTCCTTGTTAGAGGAGAGGAGGTGTGTCAGTAGGGATTGACTTTGAGGTTTCAAAGGCCCATGGCATTCCTAGTTAGTTCTCTCTGTCCCATGTTTGTGAATCAAGATGAAAGCTCTCAGCTGCTGGTCCAGTACCACGGCTCCCTGGCTGCTCCCATGTCCTCTGTCATGATGGTCATAGACTCGAAACTTCTGAAACTGTAAGTCCCAAATAAACTCTTTCTTCTATAAATTGCCGTGGTCACTTAACATCAGTAAGAAGGTAACTAAGACAGGTGCTAAGTTCAAGCCCCATCACTAGGAAACAAAACAAAGATGTTAAAATGTAATGATTTCCTAAAGGAACTTCACTAGGTTATAAACTTACAGACTGTGCTCACGTTCATCCCTTACATTTTTCACATGTAACAGAGTGTCTCTTATTCAGATTTGTCCTAGTGCATGTCAGCTGTCAACCTGACACAACCTGGAGTCTTCTAAAGGAGTCTCAATTGAGGAATTGCCTACCTGCAGCCATGTCTGTGAGAGATTGTCTTGTTTGATGACTGATGTGGGAGGGCCCAGCCTACCGTGGGTGGCACCATCCCTAGGCAGATGGGCCTGAGTTGTGTAAGAAACCTAGCTGAGAATGAGCCAGGGAGTAAGCCAGTAAGCAGTGTTCTGCTTGAGTTCCAGAAAAGCAAAATAGAACAGACCCTAGCCTTATTTCCAAAGGAAAGATAGACATAAAAGTCACTATGATAGCCATTCTATAAAGTCTGACTTCCTAAGAATATATCCTCCAACTTTTTCAAATGTGTGACTGGATGTAATTGAGCAGGATGGCCATGTTTCTCCTGGATATTACAGCATAAAGACATTCCTCTCAGCCATTCTCATTCTATTGCAGATCTCCAAGGAAATCAAGTTCTTGGCACATATGAAAAGCATTCCATCAAAGTTTACGTCTATAAATAACAATAAAAGAAACGATAGAAGGCAGGTGCACTCCAATGGGACAGCACTTATCCAGAACTGGGGAACCCTAGCTTCAACCCAGGACCACAAAAGGAAAACAATGTTTTCAAGTTACACTGTTTTAGAAACCAAAATATATTTAATGATTAACTCATTAAACAGTTGTGATTCTAGACAAATAAGCAATTTAAAAATACAAAAATCAGAGAAACCCTGTCTAGAAAAACAAAAAAAATACAAAAATCATTTTACAGGTTCACTTTGTAAATGCCACTATCATGATTTTATTTACTTCTTATTTTTTTTATTCCAAAAAAGATTATCTAGAATAACTTCTATTCCAGGTCTTACCTAGAATGCTTTCTTGACAACTTTCAAGTCTCTTTTCTTCATATTCTAAAACATCTTGTCTTTTTCTATAAATAAGAGAAATGATAAGCAATAATTACTATTTTAGAGTGGTCTGAAAATATGTAGCACAGACTTTAATTTCTTTAAAGAATGTTTATTAAATAAGGAGAAGTTGTCACCTATATTTCAAATGTATAAACTCTTAAAGTTTTGTGGCATTTGCAATTAAACAAATGGATAAAGACAAGACTAAGACCAAGTGATGCAGCCACTAACCAATGTCTCAAGGTCACACACCTACCAAGTGTAAAACCTAGGAATTAAATGGACTCTTGTGTGAATCTAAAATCTACTGTGTTCTTGTTATCATCCACCTACTACCTATGTTCACTGATGAATGGTTAATGCAAATAAAGACAGTTTACCGCAACTTTCTGTGCTCACTACACGTAAAGTCCAAGACACTATTTTAAAAAAAAAAATGTAAAAAGACCTAAATTGATTCTAGTAGTCACAATCAAATGTCACTCAGAAATACCATCAGGTGAACATCCCTCAGAGGATGTCTGAAGCATGGTCATCCAAACAAGGAAGCATTTCAAGTCCTGTTGTGTTTAACAATGTACTTTCATAAGACATGCACATTAGAAGCAACGATGAAAAAGAATAAGATGTTTATGCTCAATATTGAATAGAATATGCACAAGTCTGTATTTTACAAAATTAGTAAGACTAATATGGAATCCTTTAGCATCATGTAACAAGACCATGCTGTGAATAACGAGCACCATGCATCATTAACAAGGAGTATCAATTATTTTCAATACTTCTTCTTTGTGCCTGTGCTGAATAGTTTGTTTATAAATTAATTATGCTTTGAATGGTAGTTTGAATGTAGTTGGCCCCCATAAGCTCATAGAAAGTGGTACTATTAGGAGGTGTGGCTTTGTTGGAGGAAGGGTGTCACTATGGAGGTGGGCTTAGAGGTCTCAGATATGCTCAAGTTACATCCAGTGTCTCAGTTCACTTCCTGTTGCCTGTGGATCAAAGATATAGAACTCTCAGTTCCTTCTCCAGCACCATGTCTTCCTGCATGCTGCCGTGTCTCACCATGATGGACTGAATCACTGGACTGTAAGCAAGCCACTCCAATGAAATGTTGTCCTTTATAAGAATTGCAGTGGTCATGCTGTCTCTTTACAGAAATAGAAACCCTAACACTAAGACACTTTGTTTTGATAACTATGTCTCATAAACTAAAAATGAAATTTGTTTCTCTCTATTTAGTTTTTCAGATCTCAGCACTGACTGCAACCACCCCAGAGCATAGTAAGGCTGTTACTCAGAGAAAAGAAGAAATGGGGGTACCTCTCTAGCTTGACAGCTTCAGTTACTGAAAATTCTTTTATCTGTGGTTTGTTTTCCTCCAGAGGAGCTATAAGTGATACTAGTTCATCCTGTACAAAACCAAAAACAGTTACTCAATAACTCATAAAATGACACATATTCAACATAATTAAAAATTTCCTAACATGAGAGTGTAAGGCAGATAGAAAATAAATGATATCTCTTCCCTCCATTGGGCCTTCACCTGTGCAGTTCTTTCCCTGCGAAATGCTGCTCCCCAACTGGGGCCATCACACCTTCTAGACTCAGTTCATGAAGGAATGTGAAAAAGTCTCTATTTCAAACAGAGGGAAGATGTCACAGATCGCCAAGTGAAAGGAAGGAAAATGAAGAGCAGAGAGAAGTTGAGGGAGGGGAAGCAGAGGCCACATCCAAAGGGCACAAACCACAGTCCTTACCAGCTCAAACCGAGTGGAGGATGTAGGTGAAGCAGTGACTCTTCTATAGACAGGTCAGGTAGTAATGAAGAGAAATCTCATGTGTTGTTGCTACATGAAACATGGAAAGGCAAGGCAACAAATCATAGCTCTTTAGACAGAAATCAAAGATGCTCAGATGTGTAGAATACCAGAAGAGTGTAACATTTTCTGGTAAAAACAATCGAAGAGCTGAAGAAGAATGCAAAGGGGCAGATGCGTTCTATTAGGGACCCTCAGGTATGAGTCACCAGCTCACAGAAGTAGTCAGCAAGATGGCTGAGAAAGTCAGACGGGTAGATGACAGAGTCACCAACATGGACATACAACTCAGCAGGAAACAGATTATTTACCCACCAGAAAACACTGAAGCTTGATAAATACTTTGAGCAAATTATCAGGATACAAAATCAACATATCAAACTCAGTAGCTTTCCACATGCCAATAACAGACTAACCTGATGTGGGATTCCCCTTTGTATGTTTTATTACCATTGGTTAAAAAAGAAGCTTTTTTGGCTAATAGCTTTGCAGAGTAAAGTCAGACAGGAAATCTGAATAGAGATATAGAAAGAGAACAGATGGAGTCAAGGAGATGCCATGTAGCTGCCGGAGGAGAAAGATGCTAGAACCTTACCAGTAGGCCACAGCCTCATGGTGATATACAGAATAATAAGAAAGAAATTGAATAAGACACAAGAAAATAAAAAGATCTCCTGTGCTCTAGGGTAGGTAGAATTAACATAGTAAAAATGGTAATCTTACCAAAAGCAATCTACAGATTCAATGCAATGCCGATCAAAATCCCAGAAAAATTCTTCACAGACTTCAAAACAACGGTACTCGAATTCATGAAAAAACAAAAACAAGGATAGTCAAAACAATTCTGTAAAAAAAAGGAATTTCTAGAAGCATCACAATCCCTACCTTCAAACTCTGCTACAGAGCTACAGTAGTGAAAACACCCTGGTATTGGCATAAAAAGAGACATGTAGACCAATGGAACCGAATCGAAGACCTGGATATCAATCCACACTCTTATGAACATCTGATCTTTGACAAAGAAGCAAAAAATATAAAATGGGGAAAAACATATTCAACAAATGGTGCTGGCATAACATTCTATCAACACGTAGAAAAATTCAAATAGATCCATATCTATCGCCATGCATAAAACTCAAGTCCAAATGGATCAAAGACCTTAACATACAACCAACAACATTAAACTTCATAGAAGAGAAAGTGGGAAGTATACTTGAATGCATTGGCAAAAGAGACCACTTCCTAAATAAATCCCAGTAGCAGAGACACTGAGAAAGAATTAATAAATGGGATTTCCTAAAAAAGAGAAGCTTCTGTAAAGCAAAGAACACAGCCAACAAGACAAAATGGCAGTTACAGAATAGTAAAAGATGTTCACCAACCACATTGGACAAAGGGTTGATCTCGACAATACACAAAGAAGTCAAGAAATTGGTCATCAAAAGAACAAATTATCCAATAAAAAAAAATAGGGTAGGGACCTAAATAGAGAGCTCTCAACAGATGAATCTAAAATGGCTGAAAAACACTCAAGGAAATTCCCAACTTCCTTAACCATCAGAGAAATAATAATTATAACAACCCTGAGATTCCATCTTACATCTGTAAGAATGGCCAAGATCAAAAACACTGAAGAAGCTTTTGATGGAGAGGTTGTGGGGTAAAGGGAACACTTTTGTATTGCTGGTGGGAGTGAAAACTGGTACAGTCTCTTTGGATATCAGTATGGGATTTCTCAGAAAACTAGGAAATAATCTACCTCAAGACCCAGCAATATAACTTTTGGGTATATACCTAGGGATGCTCAATCATACCACAAGGACATGTGCTCAAGTATGCTCATAGCAGCATTATTTATCATAACCAGAACCTGGAAACAATCTAAATGTACCTTGACTGAGAATGGATAAGGAAAATGTGGGACATTTATACAATAGAGTACCTAAAGCAGAAAAAAAAATGATGACATCTTGAAATTTGTGGGCAAATGGATGGATCTAGAAAACTTCATATTGAGTGAGGTAACCCAGACACAAAAAAAATATAATGTATACATAAAGCAAAAAAAATCAGCCAACAATTCACAATCCTAGAGAACCTAGACAACAAAGAGAACCCTAAGAAAGACATAAATGGATACAATCTACATGGGAAGTAGAAAAAGACAAGATTTCCTGAGTAAATTGGGAGCATGGGGACTGTAGAAGGGGAGTGGGGAGGAAAGGAAGGGAACAGAGAAAAAAATAGTTTAATAAAAACAACAAAAAAATTCACTACAAGACAGGTGTAACACTTTCAACACCAGCATTGGGAAAGCAGAGGCAGAAGGATTTCTGTGAGCTTGAGGCCAGCCTAGTCTTTAGAGTGAGCTCTCAGACATCAAGGACTACATGGAGCTGTGGTTCTCAATCTTCCTAATGCGACTCTTTAATGCAGTCCCTCATGTGCTGACCCCAACCATAAAATCATATTTGTTGCTACTGTATAAGTGCAATTTTGCTACTAATTTTGAATTGTAATGTAAGTATCTGATATGCAGGCTATTTGATATGTGACCCTGTGAAGGTGTTGTTCAACCACAAAGGGGTTGTGGCCCACAGGTTGGGAAGACACTTTCTCAAAAAAAAAAAATCAACTACAAAAAATTTGCATAGGAAGGTTTTCTCTGACGAGCTTTCCACATAAAAATTGTAATAGAGAAGGTACTGCATAACTTAGTATAAATACTGAAAAAGCTGAAGTTAGGACAAAAAATTAATCTAGTAAAGCAGCATTTTACCTTAGCATCCTCCTTTTCTATAGGTTCAGAATCATTAGCATCAGGTTCCTCGAAAACCCTTCAGAGTGAAAACATACAATAAGACATGAGTTTGGGTCTTTGAAAAATCCTGGAGCATGATCAACTAGGTACACTAAATGTATTTTTACTTGTATACTTTAAAGTTAATCTTTGTTTTAAAAAAGGTAAAGACTTTAGTTTCCTCCTCTACCTCCACTTCTCTCTTCAAAGAGTGACAGACAACCAAAGAGTTCCCAGTGGATAAGAATGATTAGACACTGGGTAGGGAAATTTTCTCTCTCCAAAGCTGACTAAAAAACCAGTTACTGGTTCCATTCTTTTTACTACGTGAAGTGAGAGATACTAACATAGTAGGAAACAAGGTGGAGAGAGACATGGTCTCATCTTCATTGTCTATCACTGACTAAACAGTAAACTACACAATTAGAGATGGCAACTTTGGCTCTACTTATACAAACAATGTATTTAAAAGACCCCATTGCTTATCTTCAACCCTAAACAACATAGGACATTCCTAAGACTAAAGTGTTGGAAAACAGTGCTGTCTATTACACGTCATCTTCACACAAAGTAGGGTCATCAGAGAGGAGGAACCTCAATTGAGAAGATACCTCTGTGAGATCGGGCTGTACACGAGCCTGTAGGGTATTTCCTTAATTGGTGATTGATGGAGACCCAGTCCACCCTTGGTAGTGCCATCACCCCTGGGCTGGTGTTCCTGGGTTCTATAAGAAAGCAGGCTGAGCAAGCCATGAGGAGCAAGCCAGTAAACAGCATCCTTCCATGGCCTGTGCACCAGCTCCTGCCTCCAGGCTGCTGCCCCATTTGAGTTCCTGCTCTGACTTCCTTCGTGATGAACAGTGATGTGGAAGTGTAAACTAATAAAGCTCTGCAGTAGACGAGGACTGAGCATCTCGAGAGCAGGAAGAGACCTTGAGCACATGGCTTGAGCTTAGAAAAACTCAAGATGGCATTGTTTTAAACATATAAATCTCTTTACAGGAACTCCCCTTTTCTCACTTGATAGGGAAGACAGTACATTTAATTTACATTTTCCACACCAAGCAGAGTTTTAAACATGTCAAGATTGTCATCAGACTACACCCCAAATAGCAGGGCTCTCCTGTATGGTTATTTCTCTCCCACTCTGATTTCAAAATATTATTCAGGTCCAAAATAAACACGTAAAACCATTTGCAGAAAATGATAATTTTAATTAGAACAATTATAATATTAGTCATAGTGACTCTAATTAATAATGAAGATGAGAGTGAGGTAGACACTGAACAAAATGTAAACTTATATCAAATAATAATAGTCATATTCCCTTTCACATTACAGCACATTCAGAGGCTGGGGATCAATCCCAGTATCACGTGACTTTAAACCTGACCCACCCACGTGATTGATCTTCACTAAGAAAAATATATTCACAGAAAGCGATTTTATCCATACTTTCCAAGCCAAATAAAATGGAAACCTTCACAATTCACTACAGAGGAAGAGGTGAAAAATACTGACTGCAGTGTGGCAGTCACGATTAATGGATCATTCAGAGATAAAGTAACAGGAATAGTCTTCAAAGACAGCAACTCACAGCAGGGTTGTGCAATGAAAAAGTATACTCAGCAGGGCGGTGGTGGCGCATGCCTGTAATCCTAGCACTTGGGAAGCAGGGGCAGGTGTATCTCTGTGAGTTTGATTCCAGTCTGGTCTACAGAGCTAGTTCCAGTAGACCTAGGACTGTTACACAGAGAAAGCCTGTCTCGATAAATCAAAACAAAATGTATAATCAGCACCAATTTGTATTTAATGATTCAATATAAATATAAATGTAAATTAAATTTGTATTTAATTAACAGGAAAATGTGCATGAGAAACTGGGAGGCAAAATAAAACACAAAACTTAGGCCAATGTCAAATCGAACACAATAATGCAAACTCTTTACAAAAAAATCAAATTAATCTGAATAATCTGAAAAATTACCACCACCCTGATTTAGCTTTGTTTTGAAAATTCGCACTGTATTCTCATCACTGTGTACTAAATTTCTTCTATAAATCTAATGTGTCCAGTGCACATGGCTCTCCCCTCTTCTGATCACCACTAATCTGGTTTTACTTAGAGAAATGAACACCTTTACCTGGCTGGCTGCTTGTGTGTCTGTACGTTTGCCTCATTTCCTGACAAGACTACCAAGGGCTGCTTGTTTTTGTCCAGAGGAACCGAGCGGGATTCCATGTCTTCCTGTATTAAAATAATAATAATAATTTTAAATTATTTTAAAAACACAACATTACGTACTTTTCAGCTAAGCTTAAAACCTTGTTAAAACACACTTTACCCTCCATTTGGTTGGGATATAGACTGTTGGATGCCTGGAGAACTTCGTGGGTTCAGGCCAATCTTTTGGATAACCAATCCAGAGGCTGGGTTCAGTGAGCAGGGGTGGTGGGACCACTGGAGTCTGTACAGAGAAGAAGGGTGGCGGTGAGCATGAGAGAATCAGCTCTGACACCCACTTGCCATCCTCGCCACTGCTTGGAGGAGGGACACTGCTCCCAGGAAGTGCACAGCACAACTGGCTGCAGTATCCTGACATCACAAATGGTGAACACAGGGACTGAGCCTTCCACACCACTTAGAACCCCGCTCTCAGACAGTATCGTGCAGACAGACAGATGACCCAGACGACAAAGATTGGCAGGTCTGCATCATCAGGCCAGGGGCACCTGTAATGATATTGTGTTTGTATTTTAATATATAAAACTTGCCTGAAGACCAGAATGCAAAACAGCCACACTGGTCAGCCATACAGGCCAGGAGGTGGTGGCACACACCTTTAATCCCAGCAACCACACTAGGGAGCCATGAGGCTGGGTGGTGCTGGTGGTGCACAACTTACTTTAATCCCAGCTCTCGAGAGGAATATAAAGTGGGATGAGACAGGAACATGCTCTCTTTCAGTCTGGATATTTCATAGATCTCTCTAGTGGCTTGGCAGCTTTGCTTTTCTGATCCTCAGGCTGAACCCTAATATCTGTCTCTGGGTTTTTATTATTCATGCTACATTTGGTATACAAAGTTTGGGGTACAAATTCACAAGAAAGCTGTTTTCCTGAAGCTTTTTTGCCACTGGCACAGGCTGCAGCTCCATGTAGCCTCTTGCCACACCAGGATAGGCTTTCTTTTCTTTTCTCCCCAAGTCTTTGAGCAAGTTTGGGATTTTCCAGTTGTAGCCTCTCTTAAACTGTCTCCAGCTGTCCCCGAAACTCCAGGAGCACCTGGGCTCCAAACACAACAGGACTCACCGGCCCTAGGCTTGTTCAGGCAGTCCCCCCATCACATGTGTGTTTTCCAGACAGTCAGATCTCTCTCTCTCTTTCTCTCTCTCTCTCTCTCTCCCTCCCTCCCTCCCTCTCTCTCTCTCTCTCTCTCTCTCTCTCTCTCTCTCTCTCTCTCTCTCCCTCCCTCCCTCCCTCTTTCCCTCCCTCCCTCTTTCTCCACTGTGGATTGTGGGCTCTCCTTGAACCCCCTTCTTGGGCTGCTGCCAAGTTAGGGAGCTCCCTTGAAAGCCAGTCAGGCTTTTACTGTTCTACGCAGCAGCAATAGTCTCACATTCTCATCAACATCCTCATTAGATTTGATAAGACAATTGGTGGTGTGGGAGGTCCTTCTACCTATGTATTGCTTTTATTAGTTAATGAATAAAGAAAACTGTCTTGGCCTATAGCAAGGCAGAATTCAGCTAGGTGGGGAAAAATTAAACTGAATGCTGGGAGAAAGAAGGCAGAGTCAGGGTGAAGCCATGTAGCCCCACCGGAGGCCGATGCCAGAACTTTACCCGGTAAACCACAACCTTGTGGCTTTACACAGATTAATGGGCTAATGGGTTAATTTAAGATACAAGTTAGCCAGAAATATGTTTAAGCTATTGACCAAACAGTAATGTAAAAAATATGGTTTCTGTGATATTAATTCAGGGCTGAGCAGCTGGGAATGAATGATCGGCCTCCTACAACAAATTGGGAATTTTTTTAAAGTATTTATTTGCTTATTATGTATACAGTGTTCTGCCCACATGTATCCCTAAAGGCCAGAAGAGGGCACCAGACCTCATTACAGATGGTTGTGAGCCATATGTGAGTGCTGGGTAATTGAACTGAGGACCTCTGGAAGAGCAGCCAGTGTTCTTAACACTCTGAGCCATCTCTCCAGCCCAAATTGAAAATTCTTAAAGGAAGGAATTATTTGAAAGAGAGAGCTTTTCTCCAACATTAAAAGTGGGAAAAACAATTACAATGGGAGGATTTGGGTGTCTGTATGATAATATGCTAGACAGTTTGAAAATGGAACAATTGAATGAGAGGGTAACTAATTACAGAAGACTTATGTAATATCAATTGTAAACATTATCAGCTTATCATTTTTTGTCTTACCACTAAAAAAATTGGTTAAACTGAGTGCTAAGATACAGACTTTAAAAAAACTAATAAAACAAATCACAGATATATTCAAATCCAGATAAATGAATTTAATGGAGAACAAATGTCAGTGTTTCATTATAAGAATAGAGAGGAACAACCTAAGGTTTCAGACAACCAACTTTAATATATCCAGTAACCTTACAGAAATTGCCAAACGGCAGAGGCTCTGTCACAGTTAACTGGACTACTGAGCCAATGATAGATTTCAGGAGATTCAATAAGTCTCATATGGCATGCATTCACCTTTTGTGAAGCAAATGTTAAACTTGTGGTTAGCTTGCAACAGAATTCTTCCTAAAGTCAGGACAGAATTGGTTAATGGTGTTTTAGAGCCTAGTGCACAACTACAGTGGAGTACTTGGTTCAGTGAAGAGGCTAAGATTCTTGAACAATGGAGTAAAGCTAGAGGTAGGGAAATCTCTCAAGATCAAATTCTTGGAGAAGGAGATTATTCTACTACAGAAAGGCAATCTGCATATGAACTCCCTGAATTTATGTCATGCAGCAGCTTTGAGTGCTTGGGACGTAATTGGAGAAATGGGAAAGGAAATGGAGTCATTTCTAAAGTTATACAGGTCCCAAAGGAGCCTTTATGGATTTCTTACAAAGATTGACTTCAGCAGTAAATACAATGATATCAAATTCAGAAGCTAGATAAATAACAATTGAATCTCTGGCTTTTGGAAATGCCAGTTCTCAATGTAAAAAGATAATCAGGCTGTTAAAGGCAAGGTCAGGGCCTCTGGAGGAATGGATTTGAGATAAAATTAATATTGAATCTCAGGATTATGATGATGCATGGATAGGAGAGGTGATTTCCAGAGATCTGAGGAATAATTGAAATGTCAAATATTATAATTGTGACAAATGAAGTCATCTTAAAAGGGATTGTAGACAGGGCATTCTTAGAAACATTTTTTTTTCCTAAGAATAATCCATTCATAATGCCCTTCCCTTCTGGATTATGTGGAAGGTGTAGCAAAGGCATTCATTAGACTAATGAATGTAGGTCACTCCATGCCATAGTTTGTAAGTCAGCAATTGAAAATATGTATGCAATTACCTGAATCTATAGTTTACCATTTTACTATCTGATTCAAATGTAGATACTTTAGAAAGAATGTTTAAAGAAGTAAAGAAATTTTTGCCTTTGAAAATTACAAATTGCTCCTGAAAAAAATCTTAAGAGGATTGTCTATTAATTATTTAGGCTATAAAATAGGTATACAAAAAAATAGACCTCCCCAAAAGATGCAAATTAGGAGAGATTGATTGCAGATTTTTAATGACTTCCAAAGATTGCTAGTAGACATTTCCCATCTACAGCACACTACTGAGATGACCTGATTAATATAAACAAAAAGTTAGATGGTGGCAAGGACTTAAATAATCCCAGGAAATATCAGCTGAAACTGAGAGAGATTGAGCTTGATTGAAGAGAAATTACAGAAGGCACATATGGATCGTGTGAATCCAGATCTTTTTTTTTCTTTCCTGAGACAGGTTTAGCTGTAGCCTGTCCTGGAACTTTAGCTCTTGTAGATCAGACTGGCCTCAGACTCACAGAGATCCACCTGCCTCTGCCTCCCAAGTGCTGGCATTAATGGCATGCACCACTACCACCCAGTCAGATACTAATCTTAACTGCATTCTGGTCATATTACTCTCCAAACATTTCCCTACAGGAATTTTAATGCAGAGGGAAGATAGCCTAGAATGAGAAAAAAAAAAGCTTAAAATTTATGTGGAAAAGGTCTCTGAGTTAATTCTAAAATGAAAATTGATGTGTTTTCAATTAGTAGGAATAGTTATAGTACCTTTTAACAATAATGAAATTAACAAATTATGGAAAGAAAGTGAATCCTGGAAAAGAAGCTTGAAGTAATTTTTTGGAGAGATTAACAACTGTCCCAAAAGAAAAAAAAATCAACTTGTAAAGAAAACTAACTAGATCCCTCCTCACATTGTACGGGACATACCAATAAATGGAGCCCCTGCATTCTGTACTGATGTAAATAAATCAGGAAAGGCAGATTACAAATCAGAAAATTTAAGTAAAGTGCATCAGAGTCCTTATGATTCTGCCCGAAAGTCAGAATTATGTGCTATTCTCATTATACTAAGGGATTTAAAGAATCTCTCAACATAGTTACTCTTTCCCAATATGCAGAGAGAGTTGTTTTGCATATTGAAACTGATAAATTTATACCAGATGATACAAAATTGATTTCATTATTTATTCAGTTACAAGACATAATCAGGAATATGAATAATCCCATATACACAGCATACATTTGATCCCATATAAGTCTGCCAGGTCCTCTAGCACATGGTAATTCAGAAATTGATCAATTGTTGATTGGAAATGTGCTGAAGGCCTCAGAATTTCATAAAAAATCATGTCAATAGCAAAAATTTATTTAAAAAAAGACCTTTTATTCACATGGCACAAGCCAAGGAGATTGTAAGGAAATGTCCTACTTGTTCTTTATACAACCAAACACCACTGCCTGCAGAAAGTACCCCAAAGGGTACTCAAAGGAATGAAATCTGACAGATGGATGTTTTTCATTTTGTAGGATTTGTAAAACTAAAATATGTACCCCATTGATACCTATTCAGGTTTTCAATGAACAGCTCTTTTGAGTTTGGAAGAGACTAATTCAGTATCACACATTTGCTAGAAGTTATGGCCATCATGGGTATACCTGTCCAAATAAAGACAGGCAATGTTCCAATATATGTATCTAAGAAAATGAAACAATTTTTTGCTTATTATAATACAAAGCATATTACGGGTATACCGTAAAATCCTATAGACCAGGCAGTTAAAGAAAGATCAATTCAAGGTCTAAAAGATATGCTAAATAAACAGAAAGGCTGATATATAACCCCCCAAACAGATTGAATAATACTTTATTAACTTTGAATTTTCTAAATGTTAATGATAAAGGAACAACAGCTATGAAGAGTCATTGGA